TTTATCTATCTATACTATATATTAAAAGTGGGAATAAGAAGTGAATAAATGAGATTTTCTATATTGGTCTTTGTAAAATTTAAGATACTTTAAAATTAACTTTTACTCATAGCCAATTGGAAAAATTAAGACATAAATATTATATATATTGGACTTTTTAATAGAATAAAAGTAGCATATACGAGTAATTTAAGCTCATTTGAAAATTTAAAAATTTTTACTATTTGTTAATTTAATAATGTCTAATTAGTGTTTTTATTTCTATGTAAATTATTAATAATAATTTAATAATAATTAATAATTGATTATTATTATTACAATTTGTAATTTAGCTTGAACATTATTATTTAAAATAGTATATGTCAATATAGGGCATTTAAAAACTTTTATATTTTCTTTTTTGAATTTATTTTAAATAAATATATCTAGATAATTTAAGATTTTGACTTAAAAAGGGTATGATTTTTACAAATTGCACTTCAATTTGGTTGACCAAAAAATAAAATAAAATAATTATTTTTGAACATTTTGATTATTGATATCTTATTTAATTCAAATCCATATTCTATAAAAGAAAATAATTTTATTAATAATTTTTAAAAATGCTTCCATGATTTTAAATGACTAAAAAATTAAAAAAATATATTATTATTTATAAATATTTTATTTGATTTATTAGATTAGTTTCTTATTTTATTGTAAGAGATTATAGTGAAATTTATCAATAAAACATGTAAATTAAAAGCTATATGATGATTTTTATAAATCAATTTGGTACTTAAACAAAAAATAAAAGTAACTAGCGTATAATAGAAATTATATAAATTAGTATGTTGAAAAGAATATAAATTACATCTTTCATATTTAAATTGTAACGTCCCATTTTTCTATTGAATCGGGTCGTTGCTTAGAGTCGAGTCGGGCTGATCCAAAACCCGGTTCGATCCATTAAACCGGTTCGAGTCCATTAGATTCTAGAGTGGGCTAGAATGGGATGTTTAATTAAATAAAAGGAATCAAGAAAAAACTGAAATAAGGAAAAGAAGTGGACTTACTTGAAGGAAACAAACAGATCAAAGTATAAGGATTAGGACTTACTTGCACTAAAAGAGAAAGCTTAGGAATTAAGTTGTGACATAGTGACACTTGAGGGACCATTTGGTTTACACACAAAATCATGATATTTTTGGAGTATTCCCGAGACTTCCATTCCACTACATGTTTCATCTTTATCTTCTTCATCTCCTTCATCAACTTTCTTTTCTCCATCACGTTTAATGGTGGGGAAGATTTTAATGGGAGCTAAGCATTAATTCAACTTCTATTCTATCCAAGAGAGGTGAGCCAAAGGAATTTCATACTTGACTCATTTTGTGATATTGTTAGATAATTTATAAGAACTCTATTGTATAGGAGAGGTGAGCCAAAGGTAGAAGGAAGCTAAAAGATGAGCTTAAGCTTATTGGCGTAAAGGTGTGCTATCTCTTTTCGTTTAATTAATTTTCTTGCATGAGAATTTGTGTGGTGTGTTGATAATGAGAAAGTATGTTATTTCATGTTGAGTAAGATGACTGAAAATGGTGAAAAAGCATGAGATGAGGGGAGGAAGTGAATAAATGAAGTAAATATTGAGTTTATGTTGAAACAGAGTCCCAGCTTTTGAAAACAAGGTTTGATATCTCTTGTTATTTTCCCATGTTCTTTGCATGAAAAATTGTATGGAGTGTTGTTCATGAGATCATGTGTTGATTATTGTTGAATGAATTTGGAGTTGTATATTGAGAGTTATGGCCAAAAGAACACAGACTGCACAATCTGGAAACACGTCGCGCGCTTGTGCGGTCTGGAAAGCAAGTCGCGCTCGCGCTGGGCGCGTGTCGCACTCGCGATTCCAACAAACAATAGCCGCGGCATCGGCGACTTTCTCGCGACTTGTGTTGCGCGGTCGCGACTTGAGCCAGAAACCTCTCTGACTCTCAAATGGTACATCTCGCGCTCGCGAGGTTTGAAGACGAGCTCGCGACTTGGTCTCGCGCTCGCGACTAAGGTTGCGCGGTCGCGACTTTGAGCCAGAAACTCTCTGACTCTCATTTGACATTCTCACGCTCGCGACTTTCAAAAGCGCGCTCGCGACTTACCTCTTCAGTGTAACTCGCGCTCGCGACTTGGCAGGTCGCGCTCGCGACTGATGCTTTGACATTCTTTTTGTCTTCATTTCCTATGCAATTAACTTCCTTTGCTCATCATGCATGCATCCAATCATTGTAAAACATCAGTGCATGCATCCCAATTCATTGTAAAAGCAAAAATACATAACATAAGAACAATGGATTAAAACAACACTTGTAGCATTGTATATGGTCGTGGAAATTCAAATCAATATGATGAAACTACTGACGTTGTGAAACCAATTTATGTGCTATTGTTGTTACATTGTTACATGCTAATCTTTAAGCCATTGGGTTAGGTAGAAACCATGTAGATAGGCTTGTCGGCGTCAATAGAAATTGCAGATCGTTGAGTGGATATGATTAAACCGTGCGGTGCAAATCCGGTTAGGGGCACCAAAACGGACAATATTGGCATAGGCGAATCCGGTTTGGGGCCTATGGCATACAATTTCATCCAGTTTCATACAGTTTATCTTATCACTTCGGTTTCACTATGACCTTATGGAGCCATACAGATATCTTGACATAACATTTCATGAATCATACAGTCTACTATACAGCAAGAAAGATTATCAAGATAAAATGAAAATATCATGATCTGTGTGCTTACATTCCATATGTAAGTACATGTTTATTTCTACATATGTATGTGCTTATATGTTTCTATGTTTCATTATTCATTGTAATATTCACTGAGTTTAATCAGAGTTGCAGAATTCATACAACATAAAGAACATCAGGTAAGATCATGAACGTATATTGTTGTATATGCTTACACGTTTAATTATTGCTTCTGTAAAGAGTCATACAGTCATGAGATGTTATTAATCGTAATTTATATGATGTGACTAAAAGTGCATAAGTCATACAGCATAATGAATAGCAAGTACATAATGAACGCAAGTAAGACAAATGGAAATATAATGTTATGGTATTCATAGCATGTTTATTTGGTTTCATCTCACACAGCATAATGCAATAGCAGGTCAACAGCAAGGTAAGATCATGATAAGCATATATGCGTTGATTTTAAGTTCAATGTAAATGCTTTATGAGAAAATTAGAAACTCAATTTATTGATGTTTATGAATTAGAAATTTAATTCGTTGCTATAAGAGACATTTATGTTGAAATTTCTGATTATATGAGTATCAATGCTTTAATGAAATTGGTATATTAAGTTAGTTGCGCATCGCACTTTGTTTAGTAATGTGAATTATGAAGCCCACTGAGTTTTTACTCAGCGCGTCGATTTTCATTAACGCGCAGGTTGAAAGATCGTGGTTGCTACACTTGAAGATTGAGGAGCTCCCTTCAAAGCAGAAGTGCTTAATTTGGTCATAATAGATTGAGAGATGTTAACTAGATTTATGGCATGTATTAAGATTTATGGCATGTATTAAGATTTTATGGCAGTGTATAATTCCTTTTATTATTGAGCTTAGTGATTGGTAAATATAAGTGAACCTGTAATTATTTTGGTGTAAGTAGTTGGGAGATAAGATAATTTTATGAAATGATCGAGAGTAATGAAAATAGTTTACTATAAGTTGGTATGAATTAGGTCATGAAACTTTTGATATAGATTAGCCTGGAATGAAATTAATTGCTAGATACTTATACTTTTGAGGATATTGATAACACAATTATGTAAAGTGATATATATATAAAGGGTTATTGTGTTTATGATGATTCTTGGAGACTGTTAGGAGAGTTTAGAGTGTAACTGGGAGTGTTTAAATATTCCTTATTTTGCATACAGTATGATATCAGCATGACAGGAATAAGTTTCAACCAGATTGTAGCGTCTCAGCTCGGTTCATATCGGGTTAACGGGTGGACCGGGATATAAGTTCAACCAGATTGTAGCGTCTCAGCTCGGTTCATTCGGGTTAACGGGTGGACCGGGAAGGGGTGTTACATAAATTATTATTTAAAGAGAGAAACAAATATATCAATTTTTTCAATAAGATAAATTGCAGTGCAAGATATATGATTAAAAAGAATATTTTACTGTATATATAAAAATCACTGTATTTATTGCGATCTAAATAAGAATTTATAGTTTAATTATATAAATAAAAAGCTAAACGAGCATAAAAAATAAGTATATAACGAGTATAGTCAACGTGCACCACACGTCAAAAAAGAAAAAAAACTAGTAACTATAAATGTTAGAATGAACATTACACACATATTTTATATATTTAAATTAAATTAAATTAAATTAAAAAATTTTTTAAAATAAAATTTGAAAAATATTATAATTTGGTTTTTCTAGCCAACGCTTAAAAAATAATTCTTAAATATAGAAATAGATTATGTAGATTTATCTTTGTATTAAAGGGTTAGTTTAAATTGATTAGGACTAAGCATGCTTCTATTAAATTGACTAATCAAATTAGTTTGATTTGGTTTGATTTTTAATACAAAATAGTTAAATTTTAATTTTTATAAAAAATAAAAAGTTTTTCGAGTAGTTTCAGTATTCATGGACCCAGAAAATAATCATAAACTATAAAAATAGCTAAAAAAAAAACTAAATTCTTGAAATTGTATAGATTTGATTTAATTTATTCAATTTTTGCACCATTCCATTTCATCTAATTTTTCATTTCAAAAAATAAAATACTAAACAAATGAAACTAGACTTAAAAATTTAAAGTGTCAAGCAATATTATATTGCATCAAACGGTCTAAAAATAGCTAGATTTTCATTATCCATTAAATGCCAAAAATTTTGATTAAAAAAAAAATTTAAATCTTTTTCTATGTAATAAAAACCAAGTGGGGTTATGAATTGGACAAAGCCAAAGAATCTTGGGACACTTGTTATCAACTATTTTAGAGACAAAGTGCTTTCTTCTCTTCTGGATGAAACTCACCACTCCCTTTTTTCTTCGTTCTTCTTTCTCTCTCTATCTTTCAAGTCTTACCCATAAGTCTCTCTTCTTCTCTCCAATATATATACGTACACACAAAGCCATAGTTAACATTTAGTGATCAGAAAGCCAAAAGATGGCTAAATTCTGCGGTTTGGTCTGCTTTTGCATTGTAATAGCTTTTGGGTTTATCATCAATGGGTGTATAGCAGAGGAGAAGATTGGTATATATGAGCTTAAGAAAGGGAATCTCTCTATAAAGGTCACTAACTATGGTGCTCATATAATTTCTCTGTTTCTTCCAGACAAACATGGTATGCATTTATTAATTATTTAAAATTTCCTATTTTCTTTCATTATTTGGAAACTACAATTAGCTTTATAAAATGGTAATTAATTTTCTTGTTTTTACTTTAATTTGACAATTAATTAATTAATTAACAGGAAAATTGGATGATGTTCTTTTGGGCTATGATACTATTAAGGAATACCTGGTAAGTGTTTCCTTTTTTTTTTTTTTTTTTCTTTGAACTGTGATTTTAAAACCAGTCTTTCACAAACTAGGTTGTGGTTTCCAGTAATGGGGAACCACTCTATATATATATATGACCCATAACTTTACAGCTTGGTGTTCAGTATAATGTGCCTGTTCTATGATTTTGATTTCTTTGTATCAGCAAAGACAATTTTATCTATTGTCTGAAAAAATTTAATATATCCAAACAATAATTCTATACGATAGATTTCTTCTTACGCTCAAACCTAGCGATTTCCGAACAATGATTTCGATTTTTGATTTTGATTTTGTCAATTTGGGCTGTTACTAAACCTTGGTTTGATCATCTCTTTGATTTTTTTTTTTTTTCTTTCTAGACAATTTTGCTATACATTTCAAAATCTAACAACTCTGATTTTTCTATTAGGCCTGCTTCATTTGTTTTTTTTTTTTTTTTAATTATTATTGTTTTTAATTAATATATATTGACATAGATTAAAATTGGAATCTGATCTCTATCCAGACATAATAATAGAATTAATGGTGCTTTTTTAGATTTTAGTGAGCACTCTTGTAAAGGGGTCCTCAAGTTCTCCTATATCATTACCATCAATGATCAAACAAAACGTGAAGTATTAATCAAACAGCTCCTAGCCTTTGTTTGTAGGCTGATAATTGCCCTTTCAAAGGTACTTTTTGTCTCTATAACAAAATTTCTTGATTTCAAGCTTGGTGGTCCCATAATAATGATAATATATAGAAAACCTTTTATATTTTACTTTTTCATATAGGAAAATTTTTATATTCCTTTACTTTTTTTTATATAGAAAAACTTTTATATTGGATTATTTTTTTTATATATGAAATTTTATTTTATTTGATAACATGAAAAAAAAGCCAATGTAAAACGTCATATTATGCTTGTTTTGTTCTTTATGATGGTTGTGTTGTGAGAGATTATCAAAGTAGCCGCAGATGTAAATGTAGATTAAATGCGAAGAAAATTTGGTGATAGATTTATTATTTTTTAAATTTATGCTGAAAAAATAAATGTGTATTAATTTTTAATTAAGATAATTTTTAATCTTTCAAGAAAATTTTGTTTAATTAAATATTTTATTAATTTAAAAAATAATTTGATATGGATTTAATTCTAATAGCTATTAATAAAAGGTAGGAAAAAACAAGCAAAAATTATATATTAAATATATTAATTAAATTTTTAATCTATCTATTAATCAAATCACGATAAAAATTATGAACGGAAAAAGCAATTATTCACCGGTTGAGTTTCTAATTTATTATTCAACCGTAGCACTATGATTATTCAAATATATTTATTATTTATTTTTCTAGATACCATAATAAGTTCCAAGAGGTGACAGGCTGGACAAATGACTGAAAAGTCCATCTTATCTTTTTCTTTTTCCTTTTTTCTTTATTTTAATGCTTATTGACTATTTGATTACAAAGTATAAGCACGTGATTTGACTTGGTGGAATGGCTAAAAGACAAATTTCTCAAATTTCTATCTTCTAAAAAAAAAAAACATTATCTACTTTCTATTATTATCACTATTTTTTTGTTTAGCAATAAAATAGTATTATGACGTGGATTTTATATAAAACCTTATATATAAAATAATGAAATAATGAATTTATTCATTAGTAACAAAATAATGAAAATACTTATAATTGAATCGCGATGGACTTATCACAAGTTATTTAATTTTGTATAAATGAATTTTAATATTTCTTCATTTATAAGCTCATATATATGCGGGTCCATAGACTTTAACATGGTCTAAAGATTTTTTTTTTCCATTTTTTTATTTTTTTTATCCTTTTTATTTATAAAATTCAATTTTTTTCTTAAATTTTCTTTCATCTTCTCAAGAAGATTTAGAGAAATGAGAAAGAATTTGATGCGTGAAATGATGGGATGGAAAAAAAAGTGTCCATCTTAGTATATTGGCCAAATACATTAACGGAAAAATATCCATTTAAATGCTTAATTGTTAAAAAAAAAATGAAATTTATACTTTAAAGGGAGAGATTAAAAAAAATTAACATCATTCTTAAAAAAAAAAAAAAAAAAAAAAAAAAAAAAGAAATGAAATTTATACTTTAAAGGGAGAGATTAAAAAAATTAACATCATTCCTTTAAAAAAAAAAAAAAAAAAAAAAAAAAAAAAAAAAAAAAAAAAGGGTAACAGTATCGGATTGGCTCGGGTTCAGATTAATTAATATCTCCCTATATTATTCTTCTTCTTATATAATGAAATCTATTTTTGTTGCTGATATTAAAAAAAAAAGTAACAATTATTATTTGACAATATATTGTTTGTTATTCTAATTATGTAAATGAACCATATTATCGATTTTTATTTAATTTGTTCTTCTAATTGTGTTTTAATTTTTTACATGAAAATGGTCATTTTGTTACAGAACGACACGTCAAGCTTTGGAGCTACAATAGGAAGGGTTGCTAATAGAATTGCTGGTGCTCAATTTACTTTGAATGGAACTCTCTATAAACTAATTCCTAACGAAGGGAAAAACACCCTTCATGGTAAGTTAAATTTCAACCACAAACCCTTCATTTGCTGCTTTGACTGTGTTCGGTAATAACTTTTTAAATAGTTTTTATAGTATTCAATAATATGGTATTTGAACTAGTTTTCAAAAATTAAAGTAGCATTTTATAAAAAGATTAAACCCGCTTTTTATGAAAACCAACTAACATTTATCAAAATAGCTAATCTCGCTGAAAAGAACATGTTTTAGTAGAAGAAGATACAAAGTACATATCATTTAAACCAACCCAATTAGTAGAATTAAGATAAAATAACTTCATTAATTATTTGATTAATAATTGTAATACGAAACTAATAGATTATAGTTGATCATTAAAGCGAACCTGGTTAGCACTAACTTAGTAGTCTGAAATTATGAGATCATTTGCTAGTTTAATAACCTTAGTTAGAGGCTATTAATTAATTAATTAATTAATTAGTAACTAATAAATTAAATACTCTTTAAACAGATTTAAGGTAATTTTGCTGGCTTAATATACACTTATACTTTGAACTTTAGAGTTTGTGACACTTATCCTCTAATTTGAACTTTGTGACAACTACACCCTAAAATGAAAGGTTGAGATTATTTACACCCCACAATTAAATTAAAGGTTGATTTGTAATAAAAAAATATATTTTCATGGCAACCATAACTGAGCTTAGATTAATTTAATTAGAACTTAAACCGAAACTCAAAACAGTATTGTTGAAGAGGAAAAAAAAATCAAATTTAAAATAGCTCTCATTTATCACTTGAGTACATCATTGATTATTGCAAAATTTGCTTTCATAAAAAGCAATTAATTCGTAAAAAGCACTTTGAGTTCGGACAATGGCTTCAATTCGTAAAAGCACTTTGGAGTTATTTATCACTTGAGTACATCATTGATTATTGCAAAATTTGCTTTCATAAAAAGCAATTAATTCGTAAAAAGCACTTTGAGTTCGGACAATGGCTTCAAAATTGATACGTTGATTTCTTTCATTTTTGTTCATTTATGTTTATGTATGGTGATAAACACATGTGATATTTTGTATTAATTTATATATTTATTTATGTGAGAAGGATAGTTGAAAATAAATTTTGGAAAAACAAAAATTTTAACAATTTGATAATCTAGGATATGATGAATTTAGAATAATTTATGCATATTTACAATTTTATGTTATAACTAACATCAGCCCATTAATTTCAGAATATACATATATTAATATTATTTAAACCGAAAAATCCATTTAATTAGTTTTGCTTTATACTTTGAGCCAATGAGCAACGTGGAAAGGTAATGATGTTAATGATGATATTTCTTATTGTTCACAGACAGAAAATGAAATCTCCATTAGGTCCATAAATATGTATTTTTTATTACAAATCAACCCTAAATTTAATTTTAGAATGTAAGCATTCTTAATTTTTCATTTTAGGGTATAGTTGTTACAAAGTTCAAATTATAGTGTTCCTCCAACAAACTCCAAAGTTTGTGGTATAAATGCATATTAAGTCTAATTTTGCTTGCATATGATTAATTATCAGGTGGCCCAAAAGGGTTCAGTAAGGTTGTATGGAAAGTGAAAAAATACCAACCAGAAGGTGATGCTCCTCACATTATCTTTACCTATCACAGCTTTGATGGTGAACAAGGTCAGTATCTATTACCATTCTTTATTCCTCTTTTTCAACTATACTATAGAAAAAACAAAAATTTTGTATTTCCATATTTCTTATTGAAAATATTCATTTCAGTATTAGAATTTAATTTTGTGAAATCAACATAATTTATAGTGAAATTGTGTACTTCAAATTCATTTATGCCAAACATTTCTCCTCCAGGATTCCCCGGCGATCTTCTTGTAACTACAGCTTACACATTACATGGAGAAAACCAGTTAAGCATAACAATGAAAGCAAAAGCACTAAACAAACCTACACCAGTGAATCTAGTCAACCATGCCTACTGGAACCTCGGCGGCCATAACAGTGGGGATATTCTATCCGAAGAAATTCAAATCTTCGGTTCCAAATACACTCCTCTCAATAGCGAACTTATCCCTACTGGAGAAATCGCATCAGTGAAAGGAACGCCCTACGATTTCCTGAAACCCTACATCATTGGAAGCAAAATAAGAAAGCTTCCAAATGGTTATGACATAAACTACGCGCTCGATGATAAGAAGACAGGAAGGGGTAGCAGCAAGGTGTTGAAGAAAGCTGCGATTGTGTATGATAAGAAGACAGGAAGAGCTCTGCATTTGTTTACAAACCAACCTGGAGTGCAATTCTATACAAGTAATACGTTAACTCAAAAGGGAAAAGGTGGGTATGTTTATAAACCTTTTGCAGCTTTGTGCTTGGAAACTCAAGGATATCCTGATGCAGTACATCACCCTAACTTTCCTTCCACCATTGTTTATCCAGGGAAGGCTTATAAACATTATATGTTGATTAAGTTTTCTATTGCTTCTTAACACTGATTTTTTTTTTTTTTTTAATTTGAAAGACATAAATATAAAAACTATCATGAGATGATAGTAGAATAATGATGATTTATGCTTTTTTTTGTTTTACTTAAGTCTGTTGTTTAGTAAAATGAACCTAGATAGGGAGTTTAATTTAGTTTTTTTTGCTATCATTTGACTGATCTTGTAATATTGTGCATGATCTGGGAAATGAATAATCGCAGTGCCACTGATTTTCTGGTTTTTTAATTAGTCATATATTTTGTATATAGGGGTGAATATTTTATTTGATTTTTTTAATCATTCAATTAATTAGTTCTATTTAATTTTGATAATTAACTAAATCGAACTGGATGATATATATTTATAAATAAAAAATATTCATATATCTTTTTAATAAATAAAAATTTTTAAATACATTTTTACATGTATTTTGTATTTATTTTTTAATATGTTTCGATAAGTTTGGTTATTTATTTCTATAGTTTTAATTTGATTGAATTCGATTTTCTTTTATAATTTTTTTTTAGTTCAATTGAATTCAGATTTAGCATTGAGATCCAAGGTTGGGTGGATGGAGTGGACATATTGGTCAGATTAGTTTGGGTCTTTTTGCTAAGTTTTTCTTGGTTGATTTATTAATAAAAACATTAAGTTTAAAAAAAAAAAAAAAAAAAAAAAAAAAAAAAAAAAAAAATTTAAAAAAAAAAAAAAAAAAAAAAAATAAAAAAAAAAAAAAAAAAAAAAAAAAAAAAAAAAAAAAAAAAAACCTAAAACATCACAATAAGATACTACCATACTAAAAACATTTTTCTTTTTATTCTTAAATATTAGTTTTATTTATCAAGATTCAATTTTTGGGTCAGACTCTAAACAAACTTGGCCCAAGTTAACTTGGAATAAATCCAAGCCCAAGTCCAAAACAAACAGATCATAGCATAACCACCTGTAAGTAAAACGAGAAACTGAAAAACATGGCTAGTCTGTTGTCGTTGTCTCCTGCTCCTCTCTTAGGATTCCCAAAACAGCAGCTCCCTTGCTTCTTCACTCCCAAAACAGGTTCTTTCTGATATTTTCCACTTCTTCGTTCCATTTACACATAAACCCATGTCTCTATTTTCTTTAAGCTGCTTAATTTTGCTTGATTTTCTCAATTTATAATGCAGATAAATTCAACATTTGCAGATTAATTTCATGGCAAACTCATTCAAGAAAAGCAAATAGCAGTCAGATAAAATTTTCTGCTTCTTTAAATTACACAATGGCATCAAGTGGTGCTTATGAGAAATCAAAGAGAGTATGGATATGGACACAAAGCAAGCAAGTGATGACTGCTGCTGTTGAAAGAGGCTGGAACACCTTTATCTTCTCATCCCACCATAAAGAACTTGTCAATGATTGGTCATGTAAGGCCTCTGCACGATTATCCTTTTAATATGACATGTAATTTATTGTTTTGAAGTGTTTTGGTTTATGGGATTCACAGCAATTGCAATGATATATCCCCTTTTTATTGAAGAAGGAGAGGTTTTAGGCGATGAGAACAAAAGGGTTGCCATTATTTTTCAGGTTTCAACTCCCCAAGAGCTACAGCAACTTCAACCAGAAAATGCACAGGCTGAGAATATTGTTATTGACTTATTGGATTGGCAGGTGTTCCATGACTCTCTCTTACTTGAGAATTTATTATCCATAGCGTTCAATTTTATTTTGTTTGATTGGAATAAGTGATCGTGGAATTTATTTCATCGGCAGATGAATTTCATTTTAAAAAAATTGATTTGTGAATGAATTTTAATATTTGGATTAAATGCAGTTACCAGTTTATATCCTCGTTAAGTTTAGGATTCATTTGCAAATTCTATCAATTTTGATAGAATTGAAAGTATAATAAATTCCATGGATATAACAATATAAAATTCTGCTGTTGTCCGCATAAATAATTCCATAAAAGTTTATGCGATTCATAATGAATTCCCTAAAACTAAGAACCTCTAAATGTTTTTATTTATTTATTTATTTTCTTGGATGAAATTTTGACTGTCTAATGGGAATATCAAATTTCCAGCACTTCGTTGAACAGTGTAATTGATTACAGTGAAGAAATATATGTTGCACCTAAGTGTTGGTCAGGCTATTATAATTAAATGTGTTAGACATGATTCATTGATTTATATTTCATGAGAATAGGTTGCTGAATTTTGTCAATTGAGACAGTTCTTTTCATAAGAAGTAACGGACTCGGTCATTCAGAAAATCTATCACCTTTCTTCTTATGTTTATACGATTGAACTTCTAAGAAGTTCTTATAATTATGTGTCTTTAGATAATACCTGCAGAGAATATCGTTGCTGCATTCCAAGGCAGTCAAAAAACTGTGTTTGCCATCTCAAATAATCCTTCTGAGGCACAAATCTTCCTCGAGGTAACTATCACATCATCTATTGTTAAGGACAATTGAAATTTTAATGCTTGAGATGTTTCTTACATTCTTGACCATTTGTCTCTTGAGTCGCATTCTGTTTTCGCCTATATATGACCCCTTTTATGCTGGTAGGCTTTGGAGCATGGTTTGGGTGGAGTTGTTCTAAAAGTTGAGGATGTCAATGTTGTCTTCGAGCTCAAGGTAATTTCATTTCATGTGAGGGGACTTGGTTTCCTTGAGTTGTGAAGCATTGCTCCTTATCCTGGTTAATATTATCAGGACTATTTTGACAGAAGGAATGAAGAAAGCAATCTATTGAGCTTGACAAAAGCCACTATAACTAGAATTCAAGTAGCTGGAATGGGTGATCGAGTTTGTGTGGATCTCTGCAGCCTCATGAAACCTGGTGAAGGACTTATGGTAGCTCATAATTTCTTATCTGGTGTTTTGAGTCCCATGATTTATTATTTAATTGATTGGATATGACCAATTATGTCACTGTGAATATTGTCTCACAGGTTGGTTCCTTCGCTAGAGGATTATTCCTTGTTCACTCTGAATGCTTGGAGTCAAGTTACATTGCCAGCAGGCCCTTTCGTGTCAATGCGGTGAGTTATTTTTCTAACAGTGGAGATGATATTTGAAACCATATTACTCATTAAAAATTTCTATTTTCTGTAAACTTCAGCACTGGCATTGACATAAGAAACTTGAAAGCAGCCATCTAACAGTAAAATTAATTAGCCTAGTTGTTTATACATTTTAAATTGTCTAATCTTCTGAGTTTGTTGTATGTATATATAATTTGATTAATGCAATTCCTAATTGAGAAGTATTTTGGATTTCAAGAAACTTCTTGTTCTTATTTTTTTTCCTGCCAAATTTGGTGTGTAGGCTTTTGTTTGAATACTTTTCCTCTTATATGTTGTGGAACTCAAGATCAAATTTCTATTGTAAATTCTAATTCTGTGCATTGCCATAAATCAAGGATATTTCTCCCCTCTGTTTCAAGTATTGTATTGAAAAAAGCTGTACTTGCTCACAAGCCAACGGGATTTCATCCTCCATGTTGTGGCGGCTGACATTGGTCCCCAAACCCATCCATAAATTTGATGTGTGGAGTATGTGACTATTGGATGAACCTGAGGCATATGAAATTGTATAGAACTTGTATAAATTATTCTTGTGCATTATTTTGATTATAAGTTAGACAAGAAGAAAGTTTAATAATAGTTCATTATTTTAGAGTAAATCAGCATCTAGAATATTCCACGAGTTTATTGTCCTGTTACAATAAACAATATAGAACAGTAGTTTACAATGTTCATTAAATTTTACCAAGTTTCTGATGGAAATATTTAGGGGCCAGTGCATGCGTATGTCTCTATTCCAGGAGGAAAGACATGCTACCTCTCAGAGTTGAAAGCTGGCAGAGAAGTTATCATAGTTGACCAGAAGGGCAAGCAACGAACAGCAATTGTTGGCCGTGTAAAGATAGAGACTAGACCACTTATCTTTCTGGAGGCAAAGGTTTGTGTAGCTGAAGCCATCATCGTAAACACAATCTTTTCATCTAAAAGTTTTTTAAATCCTTTACTTAGTGCATAAATCCTTTATCTCAACATTTTATCTATATGAAGTACATTTGACTCAAAAAATCCCTGCTAGTGAGTAGATTTTGCATTTAAGATAGTTAAACTGTCGTTTAGTTGTTTAGGCCTTGTTTACTTAAAACTTTCCTATTTTCTAGGAAATTCCTGACCTGGAACTGGTATTTATGGAATGTTATTTACAAGAAAAATGCAATTTTTAGGATCTAGTTTGCAGATTTTATTTACTAATTTTCTGGTAAGGATAGTAGAAAAGAATATATAATATCCATACTACCTGGAAATAATTTATTTAGAAAAGTATTTGAGATTATTTTAGATAATCTCGTGCAAATTTACTCATACTTGAATTTGCTGTCCCTCCCACTCTCAGTAAGTTGATTTCCTTGTTATCCAGGAAATTGAATGGTCAAACAGAAATGCAATTGACTTTATTCTTTCTAGTGAACGAAACACAACCGATTCACATACTTCACAAGAAATTTGACTTCTTAAGTTTAGTTCTGACAAGACAAAGGAGATATGGTGTAAAATTTTGGTGATTACATATCTAGCTGGTAACAAGAATCTTGTTAACAGATCTGAAGCTCCCTATAGTGCTAAACATTGCAGATCAACTTTTGAAAATACAATCAAATGAGGCAAATTGATTGGTGCATTGAATAATTACCAAAATTGTTTCATTTCTTTCTTGATTTTGGCATTGAAATGACTGATTATCTTGAAGGACCTGGGAACTAGGAAACAGTCAAAACATAACTAGATCACTGTTCATGCTGGAAAAAGTAATGCCAGAAATAGATGGAATAATAGGTTTTCTGCACTAACTTGATTGCCAAAAAGGTAAAAGTGAAAAGATAAAACAGCCAAATAAACCAAGTACAAATAGATTTGAGTGGAAAATTTGTGGTTGAAAGTCATCTCTTCTCTTGGTTCCTTGGAAAGTTCTACATTTTCTTTATTTTGGGAAATAAAGTTACTTTTAAAGTTATCTGGTGCTTGCATGTTAGATTGGTTGTTTCTGAATATGTATTTGAAATTATATTGATGTCTTGTTTGGTACAAAATATATTCTACAAAATTTTGTGGAATTCATTTGAAATTTCATTTTTGTCATGTGTAGTATGAATGAAATTTTCATTTTACTGTCATGAATCTAATTCTATGGAATTCAGCATATGCAAACCAAATTCTATAATTTCCACGTGAATTTTATATTTTAGATTCATTTATTAATTATTAACAAACTCTATCATTTCTGATGCTGATGTGTTGGTCTCACAGATAGATTCTGATGATCAAAAAGTTTACAGCATCTTCCTGCAAAATGCAGAAACAGTTGCCTTAGTGCCTCCATGCGAAGGTATATTATGATTAGAATCTTTAATTCCAAAACTATCACTTCCTTTATTTGTTCTCATTTTGGGATTTGATACGCGCTCCAATCTTCTGCAGGAAATGGACTGCAAAAAGTAGCTATTCCTGTGACTTCGCTGAAAGTTGGAGATGAAGTTTTGTTGCGCATACAAGGTGCTGCCCGCCATACGGGAATAGAAATTCAAGAATTCATTGTTGAGAATTGATTAAGAATAAGGATGAATTTATGGCACAACTAACCAGTTGGTGGTCATCATTTATCCTAAACAAATAGGAAGATTGTCATCAAGCAAAAATATTTCCATCCATGTCGCATTCTTGTGCAAGAATCGAGTTTAAGGTCAGTCAATTGGAAATATTAAGTTTGCTAAAGAAATTTATGCATTTCCCATAAGTAAAAGCGTCTCTTTATTCTTCTTATAAAAAGCAACTTCTTCTCAATACATATAACATTCTGTCTTTTCAAAATGAAAAGCAACTTCTTCGCAATTTTACAAGTCAAGTCCTCGTAGAATTCTCGTTACCGCGTGAGAATTTTCAACACTTCTACATATCAAACACAAATATATGCATATGGTAGGTTTCTATCTTTTTAATAAATAAATAAATAAATAAATAAATAAATAAATAAATAAGAAAGCAACTTCTCAATTTTAGAATTCTGAAAACAAAGCAAGGACTTCCATAATTTCTACATATCAGACACACAAACCCCTTTCCATATTACTAACAACAGTTTTAAAGTTTTTGGCTTTTATATTTAAAATATTATTTTGACGCATAGTTAAGTTAACTTTCGGAACAATGATGTTATATTATTCAATTATTTAATATTGCTTAATTGTATTAATTTTGTAAATTAAAGTATTCAATAAAATAATTGAAGTATTCAATAAATTAAAGTTAAAATTAAGGGTGACATTAGATTAAAATAATAAAATTTATAGGTAAATTGCATTATGTCTCTACAAAAATAAATAATAAAGAAAGCTTTGAACTCCAAATTTCTTATTCCCAATACATTTTACAAAGATAGGAGAAGACTAATATTAATCATAGTCGCTCTTCGAAAAAAAAAAAAAAATCATAGTCAATGAAAAGAAATCATAATCAATATTGGTCAAGTCATTTATGATATCGGCACTAATTTAATTAGACATCAAACCATAAAAATTAAAATAAAAAAAAATCCCAAACTTTAGGTTGTTCTAATTGTACCTCACCTACAACTCTTTTCTAATTACACCATAATTTGAAATTGAATTCATTTTATTCAATTTTCATGGATTCACACGCTCTCTCATAGTTAGCTTAATCCAAGCAATTAATTAAATTAAAACACACAGTTTTATTTTTAATTAAAAAGAAAATCTGCAAATCATACGCCATTGTAGTCTTCATTCCGCCTCTCTCTCTCTCTCTCTGCTCTATCTTCCTTTCTTTCTGTGTCTATCTCATGTTGTTGAGCCAAAAGTAAAATCTCATTCTTTTCCGTCTCAATCACTTTTTTTCATTTATGGAGAAACCAAGATAGCCCAGAGACTTTTTCCCTTTTTTTTCTCTTGAAAATAAACAACTATCTAAAATTGCTAATGCATAATCTGGTGGAAAACTAGGGTTAATAGAATTAATTGCCCCATATCTTGAATGCTATAATCAGGACCTAATTAGTCTCATAAAAGTTTTTGCATTTACATCATTATTTTCCTCCTAACGAAATCATTCTATTTATTCCTTTTGCAGGCTGTGCCTTTTGTTTGCAAGGAGGGGTCTACAGAAAGTGAGCGTGCAAGTCTAAGTGAAGTAAAGCAAAGCTTCATGATTCACTTATTTTTCTTACTGTCATCTTCTTTATCACCGGTGGTAACTGAAATGCCAATTGCAGGTTGTTGATTCCTACATTACAGATCAGAAAGTGGGTTTTGCAGAGGAGAGAGAGAGCGAGAGAAGCAGAAGAGGAAGATAGACCACAAAGACAGAGAGAGAGAGAGAGAGAGAGAGAGAGGTAGAATAAAGACGACAATGGCGTATGATTTGGATTTTTTTTTTTAAATTAAAAACAAAACTGTGTATTTTAATTTAAATAATTGTTTTGGTTAAGCTAACTATGGGAGATAGTGTGGGTCCCACGAATTTAAATGGATCATAAATGGGTGACGTATATACACGTGACACAAATTTAAATAGATCATATAACTGGTTGATTCGTTTAACCTGTTTATTTAAGGATAGAAATATAATTTTATATGTATATTATGTATATTAATAAGTTATACGGGTTATACATATTATACGTGGGTGCTCTATCCTGTAGACGGTCCATTTAATTAAATTTGGCTGAATTCTTTGACTCATATCACCTATTTAATTAAATAGATTATACGTGTCATTTGTTTAATTTTCATATCATATTTGTATTCAAATATTTGACACAATTATTAAACTGCTCATATTCGTGTTGATTCTAATCATATCGCGTGTTAGGCAGCTTCGTCGAATCAGTCGCACCAATCTATTCTGACACCTGTATAAGAATTAATTTATGGCACAACTAACAAGTTGCCAGTCATTATTTGTCCTCCAACAAATAGGAAGATTGTCATATATCAAGCAGAAATATTTCCGTTCATGTCACATTCTTGTGCAAGAATGCAGTTTCAGGGTCAGTCAATTGGAAGTATTCAGTTGCTAAGAAGTGAAAGCATCTTATTATTCTTCTGATAAAAGCAACTTCTTCGCAATACATGCAGTAGGTTCTGTCTTTTCAAAACAAAAAGCAACTTCTCAATTTTACAAGTCAAGTCGTTCTAGAATTCTCATTACCGCGTGAGAATTTTCTTGTTTCTACATATACGGTAGGTTTGTATCTTTTGTAGTATCCCATTTTTTTCTCCACTAATTTTTAATACATCACACTATTTATGGAGGAAAAAAAAAAATACATTCCTAACGTATAATGCAATTGACACATACCTCCTTCTATGTTTTAAGCTTAACATACGCCTTCCTAAATTAACAGTCCGTTATATAATTACCTCCCTCCGTCCAAATTGATTTTAATATGGACATTCATACTGTCACTCTCTGAAGCATCAAACCTTATGGCACGCAACTACTTGGAATAACTTGGATTAGTTAGATTATAAAAGGAATTATTGACATCTCATTACAAGCTAATATCAACTTCATTAAAATGAAGTGGCTCCAAGTCTTATTGAAGTATTTATTTTTCGTGTCTCTGATTGTATACCAAATAGGTATATGTAATTGTTGTATTGAAGAAGAGAGAGTTGCTCTACTTGAATTTAAAGGATTTCTATTGTCTAATAGCGAGGATAATGCAAAGGACGTGCTTCCTTCATGGGTTGATGATAAGGAGAGTGAATGTTGTGATTGGGAGCGAGTCACTTGTAACCTTCCAGGTCATGTCTCCAAACTGAACCTTAATAGTGTTATAGATATACCTCAAAATGATTTTGACTCGGAGCCTTTACTTCTAAATGCCTCGTTATTTCTTCCTTTTAATCAACTTCTCAGTCTCGATTTGTCTGAGAATGGATTCAGCTGTTGTGTGGAAAATGGAGGTAATTTATAATTTCTTTTTTTTTTTAATTACATTTTTCAACTATCTAATAAGTGTTTGATCGATCTAATTTTATAAATTTAAGTGTTTATATAATAGTACAATTAAATGTTTAATAGTGCAATTTCATAAAGTGAAGTATTCAATAGTTCAAAGTGAAAATTAAGGGTATCACAAGGTTTTTCATAAAAAATACGGGGATGAATTTATGTGTTGCACGAGTTACTGTCACGCCCCCGACTCTAATCACCAGAGGAATTGTCCGCTTTGGCCATGGGGTTGTGCCCCGGCCTAATCCGGCCAACACATACACCCGCCCTCATGGTTTTGTCCTGTAGGTGAAATGGAAAACTTCCCAAGAGGTCACACATCATAAGATTTCTGTTAAGCAAGCACGTTTAACCCTGGAGTTCTTCCAACTCTCCAGTCATTCCACCAAAAGGCACCTCTAATAATTAGTTTTCCCATTTTCGATATATGATTCGATTCATTCCTGTATCCCGCATTCCACTACCCTAGCTAGCCTGCCATCCTAGGATCGTTTTGCCGAGTCGGAATGTCATAGTTACATTTTAATGCATATAGTGTTTTATATCTTTATCTCTTCCAATTGTGCAGGATTAATTGAATTGAGCAATTTGGAGGTCCTAATTCTAAGTTATAATAGACTCAATGATACCCTGCTAATACAAGGTAAGTCAAAGTAATATGTTAATTGCTGCTATTATTACTATTATCACTAAACTCACATTTTTTATTGTTATTCTTTTTTGTAGAGCTAACTGATTTCAGGAACTTGAAGATCTTAGATCTTAGTAACAACAGTTTCGTTGGTAGCATTCCTAATTCTATACAAACCCTATCTTCTCTCAAAGCCTTGTCTTTATCCTACAACCTACTGAACGGCTCTTTACCTATTCCAGGTAAATATATTTGCATTTATCCATTAACATGGCCAAAGAAAATTGATATTTAAATTTATTAAGATATTTTATAATTTTATATTTCGAATAATGATTAATTGAATCAATTCCACAGGTTTCTCGTTAATTGATTAGAACTATTCAATTTGTAAATTTCACTATTACTTATCTTAAATCGTCAAACGTTTTTTTAGATATTCGATCCAAGATCAATTAATTACTCAATTGGAAAATCATATGAGGAGCATTTTGTTGTTGATTCCCTCTCTATGCTTCAACATTTTACATATGCAATTAACCAAAGATTCTATGTTTCCTTCAGGTTTATGTGAATTGAAGAATCTTCAAGAGTTGGATCTCAGTCATAATCATCTTACTGGAGTCCTTCCACCATGTTTGAGAAGCTTAACGTCTCTTAGATTATTAGACTTCTCATTTAACCAATTTGAAGGAAAAATTTCTTCTTCTCCAATTCCTTCCTTGGTATCCCTTGAGTACATTGATCTCAGCCATAATCTTTTTGAGGACTCATTCTCTTTTGAATCAATTGCCAATCACACCAACCTCAAAGTGGTAATGCTCGGATCCGATAACAATAAGCTAGAGGTTGCAACTGAATGCTCAAGCTGGTTTCCTAAATTTCAGTTGACTGTTCTTATGTTACCAAACTGTAACCTTAACAAGCTTCCAGAGTTTCTCAGTCATATGCTTAATTTAAGAGTGCTTGATCTCTCCCACAACAATATAGCAGGAACATTCCCTAACTGGCTACTTGAAAACAACCCTAATTTGGACTATCTGATTCTTAGAAGTAACTCTTTCTTTGGTCAGTTTTATTTGTCACCCAATTTCAGTAGCAAAATTGCTCGGATGGATATCTCAGATAATCATTTTAATGGCCGGCTTCAAGAAAATATTGGGGAGATTCTTCCAAATGATTTTTACCTTAATATGTCTCAAAATGCTTTTGAAGGTACTATTTCTTCCTCAATTTGCAATGGACCCAATTTAAAGCATTTAGATCTATCTGGCAATAATTTCTCGGGAGAATTTCCAGACAAGTTTGCACAAAATTGCTCTGGTTTGTTATTTCTGAGCCTATCAAATAATAGACTATGCGGACAAATGCCAAATACCAATATGAGCAGCTTAAGGTTCCTTGATATAAGTAAAAATCACTTATCGGGAACAGTGCCTTACTGGATTTCACAGACTCAAAATTCTTTTAGCATTGACATCAGTGACAACCACATGGCAGGTGAGATTGCTGGCCTTTTTAGCAACACCTCATTCCCTTCTTCAGTCAACATGCGAGATAATGCCTTTAAAGGTAAAATAACTTGTAATATTTTTTCAGCACAGTTCTTGGATCTCTCCCATAACTTTATTTCAGGCCCTTTACCATCTTGTGAGATTTCATATTTAAATTATCTCAATTTGCAAGGAAACAAAATCACAGGTTCAATTCCAACGACATTGTTTAACTCCTCGTATTTACGTATTCTCAACCTTAAAAATAATTTCTTATCTGGTGAAATACCAACTTTTGTTGTCAAGAATTCTGATTTGAGGGTCCTTCTTCTAGGAGAGAATTCCTTAAGTGGCTTGATCCCCGCCCAACTATGTCAGTTTAATAAGATGGCCATGCTAGATCTCTCCCAGAACTCATTTTCTGGGCCAATACCTTATTGTTTGAGTAATCTCTCTTTCGGAAACATAAAAGCACATGACTCTTCCCTCAGTTGGTCAGACGATGTTTCGGTGATGAGGCTTATCGGCTATGATTTTGAGAGTCTTCTGCATCGAGATATCATCCATGAGCTGCGAGACCATGAATTTACTGAACCAGTTGCAGTTGAGTTTATTACAAAAACTATAGCATACATTTTTAAAGGTTTCATCCTTGATTGGATGTCTGGACTGGATTTATCTTGTAACTATCTCACTGGGGAAATACCACCTGAACTCGGAAAACTAAGTTGGATATGTAGTTTAAATTTGTCCCACAATCAACTAGCAGGTTCTATCCCTAATAATTTTTCAAACTTGGAACAAATAGAGAGCCTGGACCTCTCCTACAATAATTTGAGCGGAGAAATCCCATCAGCATTGATCAGTCTACATTTTCTGGAATTTTTCTCTGTGGCTCACAACAACTTGTCAGGTAAAACTCCAGAAAAAGGACAATTTTCAACATTTGACAATAGTACCTATGAAGGAAATCCTTTCCTTTGTGGACCTCCATTAGAGAAAAGCTGCGGTGTTGTTGTTGAGCCTCCAACATTAGTTTCTGATTTGAGTGAAGAGAAATGGTATGAAATTGATCCTGTGGCCTTCACCGCAAGTTTTGCATCTACATACGCCATATTCTTGCTGTGTTTGTTTGCAGTTCTCTACATCAATCCATATTGGAGGCAAAGGTGGTTCAATTTCATTGAGAATTGTACATATGCATGTTATTACTTTATCATTGATACTTTTCGAAAGTTATCAGTTAAATTCAGTTGGTAGCTTTATTTCTCTTGTCCTGTTAGATGTGTTATTATGGAAAATGTATAAGAAACAGAGAGTAATTATATATTATCTTCTTCCCATTGTCTCCTAGATTTGTAGCAGGTTGAAAGCAAATTCTGTCTTATGATTCCAATTGCGTTAATGTTTATTAATGTTTTCTGTTCTTGATTATTTCTATTCTACTATGTGCATTACTCCAAATTGTGCTACATCATGCAAGTTTATTTCCTATCAAAGCAAGAAGGCGTCTTTCTTGGCTATATATTCATACATGTTCTATCCCTGAAGATAACAAATTGTGCATTTTTTATTGCCGCAGGTACTCTAACTGAAGAATTCATTGGAAACAAAATAAAAATTTATTTACTTTACTGCTAATTCTAGTCCAGATTAATCAAGAAATTAATTATATATTACGCTTTTACCCTTAGATTGCGATTCCTGTCTCTACTCTCTTCTGCCCAACTATCATAATCCTTTTCAAAAGCATTTAGGATTTGCGTTATTAATGATAGTGACTCTTGTAAAATAAAATCCCTAATTTTGATATTTTATTTATTTTTATATTATTTTAAATATAGTTTTTTTATTAAGATTTTTAGTGTTTTTAATTACTGCATTATTTTTTATTTAATTTTATTTATATTTTTAATTAAAATTAGACTTAAACAATTAAAAAGAAAAGAGAAAAGAGAAAAAGAGAGCGCTTGATATCATAGTTTTTAAATAATTTTTTAGTTATGAAAGTTATGAATATTTTTTTTAATTGAAATATTATTTTTTATCATTAATAAATGAATGAATTTTCTTTCCATTTTTTATTTTCTAAGAAATGTATTTTTTTAGAAAACTGAAAACATAAAATAAAAAATTTGTTTCTGTAAATAAACACGCTCTTAATATCCGGACAAGGATTTAGCCTTTAAATGCAAATTATCATTTTATTTTAGGTTTCATTTTTTATTATTTTTAATTCTTAAATATCACTTTATTATTCCAATTTAATGTTTAATTTTAAAAGAAATTAATAAAGATAATCATAAAGTTAGTTTATGTCTAAATTTTGATTAAATTAAGTGTTTGAACTTTATTTTTTATCAATATTATAGTTAAATGAATATTTTTTTTAATTAAATGATCTAATGCAAATTTCTGACGAAAAGATTAAGTAAATTATTAATTTTACCCACGTCATCAACTTCATTCATTGCTCTACTTGCCTTCTTTTTATTTACTTTTTCTCTCATTGTTATGAAATTTTCTCCAAAAACAAAATATAAATTAGAGAAAATTTAATTTTTTAAAAAAAATAAAAGCCAAGAAAAATTAAAATAAAAGAATGAAGTAGATATTTAGAAGTGTTATCACTTTTAAAATAAGATAAACATTCTAATTCTATCATAATCAACTCAAAATAATCATAGTTTTTTATATTTATTTATTTATTACGTATTTTAACCATATCTAATTAAAAGACAAAGATTCAAAAATAAAAATATGCAAAAAGTAAAAAAGTAAATCATTTTTAAATGGCTTGGAATCAACTCTTTTCCTCGTAGACCTGAATTTTAATTTTGGTTATTTTTAATTTTGTATTTCAAAATTCAATTTTTTCAATTCCTGAATTTTTATCTTTTGAAAATGTAAAAATAATATTACTGGCCTTGAATTTCAAGTTTTGTTATTCTTATATTTTGTAATTTCAATTTCTTTTATTTTTTTATGTTTTAAAATGTGAAATTATTTTTTTGTTTCAATAAAATTAAATTTAATGGACCTAAGAATAAAAATGTTATGGGCTTAATTTAACACAGATGAAATAATTAGGAACGATCTAGAGCAGAATTTTTCTCAAATTTTTTTTAAGATGTGATTAATTGTAAATTTGTAAATGGCTACTAATAATAATAATAAATTTAAGCCAATCAAGTAGTGGTTGGTCTTTCACTTGTGTAAGAAGTGAGAGATCTTGAGTTCGAGTACTCTCGATTACAGTTATTTTCATCAATTTGGTGAATGAAGGGAGGGCTATACAGTGTTATTTCGGTTCATAAAAACTCCAATAAATTAAAAAATAATAATAAATTTAAAATTACAACGTATTTTTAAAGGTTGGAAAATTTAGAATAAACAAATACTATTAAGAAAAAAATAAAGAAAAGAAAGAAATTAGAGGGGGACCCATCCATGTGCAGTCTCTCGACCTATAAATAACCAGACTTTCTATTTGAATTCGCCTTTTCAGTTTTTCTTTTTCACATTTCCGGTTTGAAGGAAACGTTCACTTACAGGATTTTCTAGGCGAAGCTCATTTTCTCTAGAAAGATAGGGTTTTTCTTCTTTTAAAACAGATGGTGGCTGACAAGGGAAAGAAATCAAAGGTTACTGAAGTTGACGATTCCGATCAAACAGACGGGGACCTCATTCTTTCTGTCGAGAAGTTGCAGGAGACCCAGGAAGAGCTCGAAAAGGTTCTTTCCCTTTCCTTTTTGTGTAATGTATTAGAATATACTTATAACCGTGGCCATTGTGCATGCAGCGTTTGTTTCCTTAAGATTGATTAAAGAAGATTTCATTTCCTTTTCTTTCTTTTGTACGGATGAAATGTGCTTTGATATAGCAATTCAAGGGTTAAAGCTTGAATATTTTTGTTTAATTGTTCAGGAATTTAGAGTTGAAGGTTTCTTTGCTTTAAAGTTGATTGTTTCCGTTTCCTTATATTTCATTCCGGTGGCATTAATCTGCTCTACTCTTTTATATCTTCATTTTTTTTTTATTTGGTGAGCAACTCCATGGTAATGGAGATAGTGTTCCTTTTAAATTCTTCCATTCAAATGAGTGGATTTGCATAAGCATGGAACCTGATGGAACACGGGATTGAATGTCCTCAATTTTATTTCTGAGTACACAGATAACTTTAAGTTCTTTTAGTATATATAATATTTAGGGACTTATGGTATTTATTTTGGAAACCAAAAGATCAATGAAGAAGCTTGTGACAAAGTGCTGGAAGTTGAGCAGAAGTATAATGAGATCCGTAGGCCTGTCTATCTCAAACGGAATGAGATCATCAAAGAAATTCCTGACTTTTGGTTAACTGCTGTAAGTGATACTTTTGTGTCCTAAAATTTATAATTTTATTCATTAGTGCCTATTGGTTTCTTGTGTTTATGTGATACTTTCATCATGCAGTTCCTTAGTCATCCTGCTCTTTGTGATCTTTTGACGGAGGAAGACCAAAAGGTTCGGAGCCTGATTTGAAATTTAATTTTTCTTGCTTTTTATTTATAACTAGCTGGAATTTGTTGCATTTTTGTGTTGTTGTCTTCCAAATTTTTAAAAGGGTGGATTTACACTTGTTATTTATGAAGTTATTTGTGTGGTTGGGGGATTAGTTCAACATTTTTGCAATAATAAGAATTTTATTTCTTTGATAAAATTAATAATATATGCTTGCTCAATAACGTCATTCGGTTATTGTGATATAGATCTTCAAGTATCTAGATTCTCTCGACGTTGAGGATTTCAAAGATGTGAAGTCGGGGTTTTGCATCACATTTGTAAGTATCTCCTTCCAAGATTCCATCCTTTGGTTTTATCATTTATTTTTTATTGTAATATTGCAATTATTTTTCGTTTAGTTTGTTGATTTTGTGATGCTACTCAGCACTTATTTCTAGCCTAAATGTGACAATTTTGACTTGATTTTCCTCTTTTTTTTCCTCCTCTCTTTTTTTTCCTCCTTTAACATGTTCAGTCACTCGTAAATTTCAGAATTTCAAAGAAAATCCTCATTTTGAAGATACAAAGCTTACAAAAACCTTTGCATTTTCTGATGAGGGGACGAATAAGATAACTGGTACAAACATCAAGTGGAAGGAAGGCATGGTAATACTCCTTTAACATGTTTTACCATCTCTCTGTCATACTTTGAACAACATTTGATAATTAATTCTAACATGTGAAGGGCACTGCGAATGGAGTTAACCATGAGAAGAAAGGAAATAAACGACCATTGGCTCAGAGGAGGTTGCTTTCCTAACTACTTTTTGCTCTATTGAGGGTACAAAACTTTATACACTAGGCTGTGCCTGTAGCTGAATATGTTTGCTTATTTATAGCAAAAAAATGTAAGGCCTTCTTGTAGAACAATAATTGAAATATAGAAACTTACAAGATAAATTGATCGAGCAATTGGAGCATTCCATTCAAAAAATGTTTTAGGATTAGTTAATAACATAACTAACTATATGTTAGTGTCTAGGGGATATGCCAGAAGGGTAAACTCATTCTCTGTTTAAATTAAATCTGGTTAACTAAACAGCAATTTTTTAAGCTAAGATCTTTTCACATGCTTGCACTTTTGGATGCTAGAGTCTTGGTGATGTGAAGTGCAACTTCGCATGGGGGATGGACTTGCATATTTGTTTGGTAATTTGTCCGTTGGAATCTCAGTTTGTTTTATGAGATTATACCCTCTTATATTCTTCTTAGATTGTTCATGTTTGAAAATAGAGTGGGTTGGGTGCAGTGTATGGTTCAAGCTGCATTACGTTGGTGTATGTATCATAGTTATCCTTTTTCTCTCTCTTTATTTTTTTTTTTTTCGAGTTCACGAGAAGGCCCATCAAAAAATAGACTGTAGCATGGGGAGTAGCCTTTTTTCTTGTAAAGCCTCCCTGGTCCATGCTATATCTGGCTTAAGGTTCACGCACTTTTCCTTCCATTACCAAAACTGTAAATGCATATATTTTTGCCCTGGTTGTCCTTAGCTTCAAAAACTATTATTCTAGGAGTTGTTCATTGCTCAAGCTTCTCTTTAATGCCAAATTAGGTTTTATCTACCATCACGATGTCATGAACAAAATTCATGCACCAAAGAAATCTAACTTTTGTTTGTACTTTTTCTGTTCATCTGTGACAATGCAAAATGCGCGAAAAAAAGGGAAATCTAAAGATCTAGATCTGTTGACACTTGAGAGCAGTTAGTGAAATATAAAAGGGACAGGATCTTCCACAGTAAAATGGAGATGCATAACACGTTACACTGAAGTTCCTACTCAAGTAATCTGATATTGTGATAAGTTATTCTCTAATCCGAGTATTCCATATCATAGCTATCCAATTGATATAGTTATATCCTTTATTAGAATTGGTATAATGAATTCCAAGAAAGAAACTGAGGCCTTTTTGTTTTTAAACATGGTTTGAATTTTATCCTTTTTTTCCTTTTTAACTGAATGCTGTTTTGTTTTGTGTCGTCAATGATGTGTCATTCATATTGTATGCAAGCAGCAGCTTTTTCAGTTGGTTTGATGAAACTGAATGGAATGCATCAGAGCCTCAAGATGATGTAAGAGCCTCCTTTTGCTTTAAATTTATACAAGTATGGAAGGACAATTGATACCAGAAGGACTTCAGCAATCCTAGTTTTCAACTCCTAATAGAAAAAATAGAGTGTATATATATTATCATGCATGCAGGAAAAATAATAGTAAATGATCATAACTCATGCCTTACAATTACATCATGTGTTGTAACTTTAGCTTGCTTTCAAGTTCACATGCTGTATCTATCTTGTGCATATTTAGATATTATTAATAGGATTTTCATGTAAATATGAGAGTTAGCTTTTATGCTATATTATTTAATCCTTCATTGTATTGTACATAATAAACTCAATTATGCCCTTTTTGATCACTCAAATGCTTCCCATTTATTTGTAGTTTACTATATATTATAGATAAATATTTTTGGTTTTGGCTGGTATTTACTTGGATTTGAGTAGCTGGGTTAATTTGAAATTGTCAAATTGATTTCTTTCTGCTATTTTGCACTCTTACTACAGTTTTCTACTCAAAATTACAGGTTGCAGACATAATTAAGGAGGACCTATGGCCCAATCCTTTGAAGTACTTCAGCAATGTAATGTCTTACATTTTTCTTTTCATTATCTTGTTGGATTTCCTTTACTCATGTTAGTGATTAGACTGAGATTGCAAAATTGAAGTTTCTCATCATGATTTTGGATGTTCATATTGTATAATTGTTACTTTGGCATGACAGGAGGCTGATGAAGAGGATTCTGATCAAGATGAAGATGAAAAGGTAATGAAGATTTGTTACCTACCCTTGTGCATGAGAGCACATGAAGACACATGAAAGCATGTTATTTATATATTAATCTTATTGTTGGCTATGCTTTATTGCCATCGAGTCTTTTATACTCATGGATATTCACAGCCGAATCACTTCACTATCTTTGTTGTGGTTTCTACGCATAAGAGTTCTATTGCAAGTCTGGTTGAGAGACAAATATCAAATGGTTGCAACTTGAGTAAAACAAATATATTTGGAAGTAGTAGTAAGACATGTGCAGGGGGAGGCGTGTGAGTTGAAAGAGTGGGACCCCCAGGAAAGAAAGAGGGTGCAGTAGTGCAAAAGCAATTGATCTTAGTAGTTCCAACAGTTTGTAGTATTTTGGGAACTGTCGAAAAGCCAAACAAATGACTTTCATGCAATCACTTAAATTACTACAGAAAAATGTCAATTTTCCCAGAGCAAAGCGAAAATTTTCCAGAGTTGGACGGTGGCTGTGGCGTGCAGGGCAGGGCAGGGAGTGGGTCTCAGGAAATAAATATGGTCTAATGAGTGTGAAAGCAACTGAGAATTGCCAGACATATGGAGAATTTGGGGTTATCTGAAGTCCAAATTAATAGCATTAACATGATTACTAGATTGTTACAAATTATAGTACCGTGGAATATTGTTACTTTATTAGATTGCTGCTAGCATCACAATATCTAAAATGGAGACATACTGGAATATCTTTAACTGCAAGATGATGAATCTGATGTTTTCACCATTGATTAAGTTAACAAGATATAGACGTCAAACCCAAACTGGTGATTTAATTCCAGAATTTATGATACCAAGTGCTGTTTTTAACTTTTGACTGGTTATCTACCCAAATTAAGGTTGAAACTTTGTTTTGCAGTAAAAGGTAAAGTCTTGGTAGCACTACAATGTCATATTGCTGACTGTGTGATCTGTTAGGATAAATATCAACAATAGTCAGTTATTTTTTATCTAATAGATGGTTTTTTATCTTCATCCATATAGTCAGTAATCTTGTACAGCAATATATGTAAATTTCTGCTTGTACAATTAAACATAATAATAAAAATAAAAATAAAATCATTTGTTTAACATGTATAAGAGCCTTGCAAATATGATGAAAATTAGGGTTCACTGAATACTGCGAAGATTCAATAATGTCTGTAGTTTCTCTTATAAAATAAGTTATGTTTTTAGACATTGTGAACCCTCTGCCCCCTTCACAACCCTCTCTCCCTCACCTGAAAAATCAGATAGGCTCAGAATTTGAACCCGGAGTATGACCAGTGTCTACCAAAAATTATTATGCACAGGTGCCTTGGTAAGACTCGATCATTCTAATGCGCAGCTGAATTCTGATTTGCTTACTGTCTTCGAATTATTGAGCTTAAATTACAAACTGCTTGGTCTACAGTTCAACTGACTCAATGTCCACTGAAATTGATAGCCGGATTGAAAATATTTTGTCATAATATTTTCTCATGTTCTGTTGCTTGTTTAGAGATTAGCATCAGCTGACCATAATGATATTGTTTGATAGGAAAATGGTGCCGGTGATGATGAAGAAGAAGAAGATGAAGATGGTAATGAGGAAGAAAACTAAAGTTTCTTGCTTTGTTTTATTCACTTTTTTTGTCTGTCGATGAGGTTAAATTTACAAAACTAGATATAGGGAGCTGGTTGGGTAGTCAAGGCATTATGCATTTTGCATAACATAAATTTTGCAAATGTTCGTTGAAGGGGCAATATATTTTTCCATCATCTAAATTTTAAGGTATTTTGACAAATTCCTTTATTTCCTTGGGCAAGTGCTAGAAAATTTTAAGAACAGGTAGAGGGCAGTCATGCAACCAATGCATTTCATGTAGATTCCCTTTTTGATTTCGGCTTCGGAATATGGGTGAAATTGAAATTAAAATCGAATTGCATGGAAAATGAAATATATATCATTTGCTTATTACATACTCGGTTTGATAATCGAACTGATTTACTTTGGTTTGAATGCAAATAATTTAACAAAAGCAAATTAAAATTACAATATAACCACTTAATTTTCTTTTTGGTACTTCCTAATTGAATTTTTCTTTAAAATTTAGGTATTAAAAATTATTCTCAAAATTTTCAATTTTCTTTCAGATTTTTTGTTAAATTTTTGCTAGAAGTATGAATAAAAATTGCCTGCCTTCAAAAAAATGGTAGAAGCATCTACTACTGAAGCTGTAGAAATTGATCCTGTTTGTTTTATTAATGATTTTATAATATATATGTTTTTCTTGTTTTTCTTGGAGCTCTGGTAATTGGTGTAATACATATCACCTTGGACTTTTCATAAAAAAATTTTGTACTACTCTGTAAGAACTATTTTATTCTTAAAATTATGATTTTGGTTATATTACATTACAACACGAAAAATAACAGTTTATAGAGTTTTATTTGTTATGGCAAAAACAACTTTTGAAATAATAATTTTTATATTTTTTATACTATTTTGATAAATGTTTTAATTGATCTTTTTATAAATTAAAAGTGTTCAAGAAGTGCAGTTTGGATGATTTTTTTTCTTTCATGGGTAAACAAAGTCTTAAAGTCTAGTTCTGTTGATATAAGTTGGTACTAAAGTTGTCATACATTTACACGATTTTTTTTTTTTCTATTTACACGAATTTTAACTTAAATACTTCCTCGGTTTACATTATTAATTTAAAATATTTGATTTTTCTATTATAATTAAACGTCAAGAAAATTAAATTTTATTTTATCAAATACTGCCCCTTAAATAACTTTATAATCTCTTTAATATTTTCTTACCAAAATAATCAGTAAGATTAAAATTGTTGAACTTACAACATTATTTAAATAATTCTGATAAAAAAATTAATTAATTCTTAAAATAAATTATGATAAAAAAAAGTTTAAAACACAAATATTAAATTACTTTTACTATCAACATGAGAAAGGTTGGTTTTTCTTTTTTTAACATTAAAATTGAAATTCTCTATTGCCAAGCATTGTATACAATGTCAGCTACTGAAACATCTACATCCAAAAAAGTAAAAACTTCCTGTATCAATTAAAACTTTAGCATCCATATTAACATTCAATCCACCTGTGAGCAGCAGAGAAGCTGCAGAAACACATAAAGCTGCAGAAAACTAAGAAAAAGTTGGAAGTTACTACAAATAAGCTTTAACAAGCGTAGCAAAAATTATGATACATTGAACCGAGTAGGATATTGTAGCCTGGCCTTGATCATTTAGAACCACTTAATATGAACTATGAAGCTATTGTACAAATTTGACTTTACCTAAGAAGAAAATAAGGATCAAAACCGTTCCAGGCTGATTCATCCATCGACTTGTAAATCGGGTGGTCAGAAGTTGCACCGACCTTTTTCTCGTATGATTTCACAACTAACAAATACAGGTTAGAAATCAAAGGATTCCTAAAAAAGGGATTGATAATTTTACCAAGTTCAACAACATCGGCAAGTAGAGTCGTATCATCCTCAACTTTCCCATTGAAACTGCAGTTTGAGAGAGCATAAAAGCCAAGCAAATTTGCATATAGAGGTAAAAATGCATCTTTGTGGTTACCAATACCACCTATCCAATCAACTCCAAGTTTCTCAACATGTACTTGAGCAAATGATATCAACTGATTATGAAATTTCATTCTCCAGCTGTCTAAGAATTTCTTGAATTCTTGTTTGATTGCCGCTGGAGCTGACAACAACTTTAAAACTGGAAGCTTCTCCAAATGGGAACAACAAATTTGACAAATTAGCAGCTTCTCTTCATGATGATTATCAATTTCCTTGTCAAAGACTCGCCTTACAAGATCTCCTTTTGATACCACATAATTTGCTGCTTTGAGTATCCAATTTGAAAGATAATCAAAGTAATTAATCCAGTGACCAAAGATAGAAGATAGATGCTCAAAACTCAATTCAATCACTCTCTCCACTTGGGTTGGAACCTCTCCAGCATTAGAGCTGCTACTTGATCTTTTCAAAGAAAAGCATTTCTGCACATTCACAGCAAGCATTTGTCTTACCCCATCATCTTCGTCCTCCAATAACTTGATGCACATAAACCATATATCCAGCACCTGACTAGCATACATATTAATAGCTTCTTTAGGTTCAAAATTGACATTTCCAATTTTGAAGGGGAATCCCCCATTATACACTGAAGAACCAATAAGTTCAGCTTGTTCCAGCAAACCAGATGCAATTATAGATTCAGCAGCTGCCTTGCGCATGTTCACTGGCTCAGATGCAGAACTATGTTCTTTAACCACATTAACAAAAAAGCTAATACATTTGTACAAGAGGGCTGATCTTTCCAGTTCATCTGATTTGCAACATCCAGCAGGGTTCTCCACACAGGCAAGAACATAACTAGTTAATGAACTTGCATATTGTTTCACACATATAGCCATGCAGCAGATGATCATCTCTCGAGTCTTTGTATGTCTTGCAAGTTTGTATAAAGATATCAGCTTATCCCAAAACTGAAACATGGAATCAAAATCCAACGTACCAATGTAACTAGTGTCAGCACATTTTTCATCACCAAGTTTCTTAAACTGCAGCAAGTTCCATACATAGAGAATCCTGAGAATGTAATTCATGCATCTATGATTCTTCTCAGAGTCCAAGAGTTTCAACATGGTTTCCTGGAGGCTTGAACTTGTCCACTGCTGAATAGTTTTAGTCTCACTGCTAGATTCCACTGACTTCAGAAATTTCAGCAGCCACTTCAATGTTGCAAGTCGAACTTCATATGATGAATCTGACAAGGAACGAATCAGCCTTTCCTGCAGTCCTGTAAAAATGTCTGTTTCAGGTAGGTTCAACAACTTTGATTCAGGTGACACATGCAAGTGTGGCATCTGAAGCACCTCTTCTTCTTCTTCTTCTTCTTTAGATACCTGCAGCACACAGCTGAAGTAGGAAATAGCTGCCTGTTCACGAAGTTCTGCTATAGTTGGATCATAATATGAAAGTCCATAAGAATCTTCAACGTCTAAGCAATTTGTAGATAGCTCCAACAGCAGATCACGTATAGTGCAGAAATCTTTACTCATGTTGCCTGATCTCGCAATACTGAGAATGTGATCAATCACTCTTACAAAAGAAGCATTAAGGATGGGACAAGGACACCATTTGGGGTTTGCAATCCATGAACGTGTAGAAAGAACTTCTATCAACTCTCCAAGAATCTTTTCTTTCTTTGCAACATCAGCCAGGTTTCTACAGTTTGCATCCAGAAGAGAACTTAGTTGCAAAAGCATTCCATGAATCAAATTAAAGGAAGTATGGTAGGTTCCACAGGTTGGATCCGCCATGGTACAGGAAGCGTTAGTAGCTGTGATTTGATTATCCATGCAAGGCAATTCAGAAGCAATATTCAAAAGGACAATTGGAAGTTTCTCATTGGATACAAGGCCAATTAAAGCTTTAGATGCAAGAACACGAATTCGAAGGTTGCTCTGAGTTGAACACCTCCTGATGAATGGCATAAAGAGGAAAGGATCAAGATCATCTCCACTCTCACTTGCAATTGTTGAAGGCTTGAGTCTGGATAACAGAATCAACATAGGGCACAAGCTTGGGTGGACAACCTTTGCTAGGTTGGATCCCGAATGGCCAAGGGTTGTATCCATAAGCAGATCAGTTGCAACTTTCAGTTCATTGTAAAAGAATGGATGTAACGATGGATACCTTCAGGCAAGAAAATGCTGTTAGCAGCTCATAATATCGATTTCCAATATTTTACTTGCAGAACTTGAGATAATAACAGGAGCCATGAAATTATGCCCACATTGTAAAGTCCAGATGACAGGTATAGCTCTTTATAAATCAGAGCGCAGAACATTTTCCACAAATAGATTCTAACCCTCAGAATTTCAGCCAAGAATAATGACCTTCAAAATGTACTGTAGAGGGGGAAATCCCCATTATGTTTAAAGAGAAAAAGAGCCCATTTGACATTGCCATTGCAAGTAGCAGATTTTGGGGAAATTTAGGAGTAATCCTATTGGCATATGGATGTAAAGTTTTCCATGGGCTCAAAACTGATTTTAGAAAAGCTTCAAATGTGAGCTTTTCCTCTAGATTTGGACCCATAGAAAACTATATTACAAATTTGCAAGTAATTACACACATTGGGCTAACAAAATTACTCACAATTTTGCCCAAAATCTGCTATGTATAATAACAATGCCAAATGGGCAAATTATTATTGAGTAATACAGTGAGTATCTAAGAAACATTTCCTTTTGGCATTTTCAAGAACAAAGAACGTGATCTCCATGTGAATAATGAATTTCATTGTCCATTTTCCTTGTCTTTCACATATAATTTATATAACATCAGTTACAAATAGAATACAATCATTTCTTAGTTCGTCTTCAAAAAGAATGAATCTTCCTCTTCTTAGTAATTTTTTCATTTCTTTGCACTTCCACAAAAACATTCTTAACAAACATAAGGATTCAACTGTTTGCTAAATTTTAGTTAAGGTCCTAAGGATTGGATAATGAAGTGATAATAATCCCAACAGCCAATGCATAAAATATATGATGATATCATAGCTTAGATTATGTTATGCATACCAAGTAATGCAAAAGACTAAAATGCTTAGGAGTATATTTCATTTAAGCTGACAAATCAATTATGTAATTACCAATTATTGCTATTCACTTTGCCCTTAAATTAGAATGAAACATGCAATAGCCGGAGTACAGCGACTAAAATTTTAGCTAAAGGACACAAAGGAGATGATCCACTTCTCACCCCTGGTATTAGTAGCATATTCAACACAATAAAGAGAATGTGATACAAATGGAAAGGGGCAGAAATTTTGCACGAGTTCTTGGAGATTCAAAATTGAACATTCAAGTGGGAGGGGAAGTTCTCAGATTTGATGTTAGGGCACAACCTTCTAAAAATTTAACATCATAAAACCACAAAATATGCCACATAAAAAAGAGAAATAATATTATGACATCTCCTAGTGAAAGATTTCATACCTGTGAAAAAATTCGAGCCCAGTCAATGCACGGCGTGCAGATTCTCGTTTTTGAACATTCAGGAATCCTATCATGCGTCTTACCAAGGCAGTATATGCTAGACATGCACTGTTTCTGACCTCCCAGTATGGAGAAGAGAAAGAACGAATTGAAACGATCAATGATTCCGCAGCAAAACCAGATGTATCAGTAGCCAGGTTTGTGTCATTGAAAGCAGCTCTAAGAACATTAAATGCATGTACAGTTGGAATTACACCCTCATCCCGGATCTTTGAAGTACTTTCCATCACATGCATCTCAAATGGTTTTGCAGAATCAAGTTCTTGGTCTGATTTTGTTAATGAAAACTTGCATGAGTTGGCATTTGCATCCTTGGCATCCACCGGACCCAGAAAAGAGCTGTTAGCTACATCTATTAGCCAACGTAAAGCACGTGGGAGAAGCTTCTTTGGTGCCCCTTCAGGTTCTGAGAGAAACAGAGCAATAAATGCTGCAGGAATACCTGCACTTCTCCTCAACAAATCATCCACAATTTGTCCCTTAGACACAGTTCTTTTCATAAGTTGCTCCATCCAGGATTCTGTCAATTTACAAAGTCTAAAAGGAAAAGCCCACATAAGAATATGGACTTGTATATGAAAAAAGAGAATAGTGATTCTAAATGCATGATAATTTGCACACAAATGCTCAGGTGTGTAAGAAAGTTGGCTGGCATTTATATAATTATATTGATGTGAAAAAACAAAATTAATCATAGGGGTGCTTTTTTCAAGGTTAAAGTCTTAAAAGAATTGTGTTAAACAGTCACACAAGTAGAAATGGTGTAATAATTAAAAAAGATCAAGAATGTGGCACGATATTTTTTTAAAAAATAAAACAAAAGGAGAAATGCTATAACGTTATTATTATCAATGTTAATTAATATTACTAGTTATTGATACAATAATACAATAAAATTTTAAAATTGTGGATTTTTCTTTCCCTCCTTTAACCTAATAGGTACATTATGAATACCTATATAGCTAGCAAGTTTTTAAGCTTTCTGATATAGAAATTGTAAGCAGTTAGTTTTTGGGGCACATTTCCTTTCGTTGTCAAAGTTATTTTTAATCCAACGATTTCTTCTTGTGTTTTACTTTATTGTTTCTTATTTCTAAACTTATTCACTCTCTTGCAGTATAAATCTATCCAACATCACATAGAATAAGAAAGAAGGAAAAAAAGGAGGGAGATATGGGAATTGGGAGAGAGGAACACCAAGTGGTAACATACCTAGGGTCATTGGAGCAAAGTAAACGGTTACAAAGAGCTGTGAATCCAGCCCTTGTCTTATCAATTGCACCGTTATGCTTCATCTTCAAAAGGACTTCCAAGAAGTGGTTCCCAATTTCTTCAAGTTGTCTCACATCAAGTATTGCATTGGAGATTTTCAATGTTGAGGCATCAATGGGACCAGAAACAGGGGCCTCTAGTGCATCTAAGCAACTATTACTTGGTAAAGGTATTTTTCTTATGATGGTTCCTAGAAGAAGACTCACCTGAAAATCAACAAATATACTTTTCTATCAACTTTATGATCAAATACATCAGATAAAGCCTGGACATGCAAGTTATAATATATAACTAAAATAACTTCCAGTGTCAATTCATTCTTGAGATATGTATATCAATGGCAGAAATGCTTCATTTGCAGCAATGGCCAAAGTTACTACAAGTCAACAAAAGATATTATCCTAGAAGTGACATTCATAATCATATTCAGATGAAAGAAGAGTGATCAGGCAACAGATTCGCAAAAATACCTCTTTCATAGCCAGCCAACAACCAACCATGACAATCTGTTCTGATGTTCTGCTATCCTGCCCAGCTTTTGAATCACTGTCCCCATTTTCTGATGATCTTACCATATCCACTTCATCCATCAAGTAAGAATCATCATCAGCCATTTCATCTATGTCAGGGAGATACCAAGCATCTGCAGAAACCACCCAAAGTGCTAATGAAGTAATTCGCATAACCAATCCCAAGAGATTCTCCAACGCTACTCGCATCTCCGAAATGCTAGACATGACAGCATCAGAATTCCAATCCAATTCATCAAATGTATATCGTAGAGTAAGCAATACACCATGAACAAAGCTGCTTTTGCAAGCTTCAGAAAGATCCCTCTCCCCTTCCTCCACAGCATCGCTCAACCAATCAATAAGTGATCTTACATACTCTACTACAGGAGGCCTATAGTTGATTGTTTGACTATCTCCATTGACCAATCCATATTTATATTGAAAACATATGACATCAGCAGAGGCTCTGACAATCCATCCTAGATCCAAGACATACTTCCTGAATATAAGCCTTAAAGTCAGAGCCCCAGCATCACTTTCTCTCACACGTGGACTGCAAACTAGGTTCTTAGCCCATGCAATCACTTTCTGGACCATGTCCTCACTTGAAATGCCAGGAAGTGGGGTAGGAAAATATAGCAATATGCGAAAAGAATTCTCTCTCAACCTGTCCCAACTATCAATAATAGATCCAACTAACAACAAAGTTGAATCAGGTAAAGTTATTTCTCTGCTGTAAGGAGAGAGACAGCTTTCAAGAGCATTGGAATCACATTTGTCTTGAGAAGAAGGTACTATAGACCAAATATTAAGCATTATCAGTATGAGCTCCATGGCCATTATTTTTCTTTTGTAAGGAGCAGAGGGATAGCATGAGAAGAATAGAAAACAACCCAACCATCTCATAAAATTAAAAAGATCCCCTGCCCTTTTAATTACAGCTTCTTCAGTTTCCATAGTTGAGTGCGATTCATTATTATGGTTGTTCATATGGGGCTGCCAGCTCCCATTCTTAAACTGTCTTTCCAAGGCTGTTCGAACTCGGGAAAAGAACTTTCTAAACAAGCTGGTCCACTTCATCTGGAAACCTGAAGAGCAACTTCTCATATTTAGTGGAAAAGCTTTTTTCAAAAGAGTCAATTCTAAATGGGAAGGAAGACTAGCTGTCTTGGGGTTTAAAAAGAGGGATTCTGCAGTATCTACACGCAGCAACTCATCAGAATGGGTCAATGCCAGCACTAGCCATTCAACAAGGACCTTAACCTTTACCCCTTTTATGCAGACAAAAGCATAAAGATCCATAATATCTGTTCGTAGTCCATATTCTGTTGCAAGTGCGGCTGAAGTGTCACATAAATCAATTTCCCCTTCAATCAAAGCAAGTGAACGGCATACCTTAAGCAAAGAGACAAAAATAGCCACTTTCTGCTCAACTGACAGTTGCATGTTTGCAGAGCCAATCTCAGGTGATGACAGTATATTCTCCGCTTCACTAGGTCCAACTGAGATAAAAGACAGCATAGGAAATATGCTATCTACATCAACTTCTAGTAAAACTGGTAGAGCATAAGTGTTCAGATTTGAGCGAAGCTTTGAAACCCCAGATGCAAGCCCATATAGAAATGGGGGCAAGCAATGCCCTCTATAAACTTCATATCCTTTCTCAACACCATTGTTGTTCCAGCACTCATCACGCAAGTACTCAAGGAAACATTTCAAGAACGTTGTCGCAGCACAGCACACGTCATCATCAATGTAGGCATGTACAGTTTCAAAAAGCAGATCAGGACTCATTTCTAACATAGCTTTTGGTCCCAGCCGCTTAGTCAACAAAGCTAAAGGAATATATCTCCCCTTACAACGTGAGCCTAGTCGTAAAAGGTCCATAGCAATTTTTTGCAGAAATGTTTTTATCCTCTTACTACCCTCGTCCATGTGAAGAGTTGATTGAATGTCTAGGAAGAGATCAAAAATCTGATGAACTTGTTTCACTGTTTGACTTAAAGGATCTTCTAAGTTATTCCATATGATCCTCAGTATGCGTGTCCCTATTTCCTCCGGGACAGGATCATAATTATTTGATGGATCAGTTAGATTAGCTAACATTGAGGTCTTCATCTGTTGCAAACAAATTTGCATCACAGTCAATCCGTGAAAATTAAAATGGCTGTCAATAGGATTCTCACAATAGTTACATAGCTCAGGCAAAATCCCATCATACAAAATGGTCTTAACAGAACTTGAGCAAATTCCATTTTCTTCATGGCTATTCATATTATTACTTGATACAACAAAATGGAAATTTAATACTGTCCTTGAAACAGCAGTAAGGATTCCTCTGATCAAGCACAATCTACTTAAAACAGAAAAACTATATATTTCAGACAGCAAATCCCCTTTATACGGAACCTTCAAAATAACATCCTTCAACCCAGTACCAAAATTTTGGCCGCGAAAACTACAGTAACTTTGATTAAATATACCTTTAATAATAACCAAACCAAGCTCTTCTGCACTAAGACACACTTGCAAAGCAGCACATAAGCTTACCCCAGCAGCCACAAAACAATCTCTGGAAAAAGCCGTTGATTTCAAAACACTAATCAAAACCCTTAAAATCCTCTCCATAACATTCAATTCTTCACCATCAAAACCATTGAAATCCTCCTTAAACCTCCTCGGAAACCGCTGAAGCAAGTAATAAGAACAAGACAAAGCCTCTTGACATTGCTCCATAATAATTGGAGACGGCCTAGCCCATTCCTGAGTCTCCGAAACTACACTATCCAACCCAAAAATGATATCCCAAGCTACCAAAACGGCACAATCTTCAATAATATCCATCAAATACCCTAACTTTGGCATACCCAGAACAGACAAAGCCACTCTCGATAAACAAAACCGTTGGCTCTTATTCCCTTTCGCTTTACTATCATACTCCTCACAAAGCTCCCTAAAACACTTACCAATCAAAAACTGGTAATCTCTGTTATTAACCTTCGATAAAGCAGAAACTAAAGTTCGATGCAAGGGCAGAGAATTTTCCAAAAACAAAACCTGTAAATAACACCGCGAAGCAACTTTTAAAAGAGATAAATCACCTTCATCTCCATTTATTAAGGACGATAACAAGTGGGAGTAAGAGGAGGCGAGATTTTTGGCATGGGTTACTTGAGAGTAGATTGAAGTAAGCGAATTTAGGCTACTGAGTTCGGTGAAGAAGGACAAAGATTTAGGGTTTAAGTGCAAAGGAGATTGAGATAAGAAGTCTGTGAAAGACGAAGGGAATATGACTGCGTTGTACGTGTAACGGTGCCTGTGCTGCAATGCCCGCCATTTTGCTGACATTTCTTTTGGTTGATTGTTATGTAGCTCCCTCTCCGCTTCAGTTCAGGGAGGTGCGGTGGCGGAGAAAACGGAGGCGGAGGGGCTATTGTCAGTTGAGACTTGTTTTAGGGCAGAGCGGGAAAGGCAGCGTAAGAATTGGAGGCCGCGGCCCAAGGAAGCATTTAGACTAGAGGATTAAAGTTCAAATAGTCCTCAACACTTTCTAAATCTACTCAATCATGTCTAAACTCAATTTTGAAAACTTTTGTCCAAGTTTGACAATTAAGCCCATAGATACACCCGAACTTCGGTGGTCTTGCAAGCTTAAACCCGGTTGAGTTGAATCAAGTTCATTGCCGGTCTGATCCGAATTAGGTTTGGGCTCAAAAAAGCTTATCCAACCCATTACTTTTGTCGGGCAAGTCGAGCGGGTTGAGCAGTTATTCTTGCTCATGAACAGGTCTAGTCAAGGCTATTTAAAATTAATTTTGATCATTTTGATCTTTAATAAAAATTCATTTTTTAATTTATATAAATTAAAATATTTTATTTTATTTCTAAATATTAAAAAAAAAGTTAGTATTCATTAAATTAATGACGATGAAGGATCATAAATTTTGTTAATGGATAATGGATAATGAACAAAGCCTCCAAATATATCAAATTGAAATAAAAATAGCCAAAAATGTAATACCTTGTTTTTCAAATTTTAAAATTTTTACATTTAAAACATAATAAAATGAAGGATTTCAAGAGATTACTAAATAAATACTTTTCAAATAATAATAATAATAATAATAATAATAATAATAATGATTTGCACTATCTTTATTCCATGTCTATATGAAAAATTTTATATTTTTCTTTATGTTCTGAAATAGCTAGCTTGTGGAGAAAATAATTGAATGTTTTCGTACATATGACTTAATATATTGTTTAGTTTGTTTAATTGAAATTAGAAAGAAAATTTAAAAAACCAATTTCATAAATGGTGTTTATATATTGTTTATGGATAGATCAATTATGATAATTTAATTTTTAAAGAAGAAATCACTAAATCATTTTGGTTAATTATATTATAAAATTTCTTGAAATGAATTGATTAATGTAATATGTATGTAAAGTAAGCTTTCTGAAATAGATAATTTTAATTGAAATAGTAATTAATAATGATTTTTATCTAGCTACAACTGCAATAGTTAGGTGCATACCAAAATTATTTACAAAATGATTAATTTCAACTATATACTATGAAAAGAACAAAATAAGATTATACACAGCTAATGGTAGTAAGTTAAAGGTAGAATATAAATAACCAAAGCAAAAATATGTAAGACTTCCTTTGTTTCATTAAAATTGGCACTTTTCAATTTACGTAATAAGAAACTACAATATAAATCAACAAAGTCCAAAAATTTTATATACAAAAAAGAATATTTAAAAGTTTTAAGATTACCGTTTTTTCTTTTAATAGCAATTTACAGTAATTTATATTATTATTATTATTATTATTATTATACAAAATTTACATTAATAAAACAGATATCAGCCAAATAATAAAAAATATATAAAAATATATAGTGGGTAAATTAGCTTTATTTGAAGTATATAATATTTGTTAATCCGTTATGATTTAGTTGATTTTGTCACTAATATGAGAAGTGAAAAATTTCGAGTTCGAATTATTTCGACCACAAGAATAAACCGTTCTAGCTCAACCTCAAAAGCTCTTTCTAGGGAAAGCTTTTCAATTATGAATTTCTTTCCGAGGACCAATTTAGTGAATTAATAGACGGCTACCCTTATTATATAGCTCGTTGTATTATTTCAGTATATTGACCTTTTAAATGAATATATACATATTTTTTTGAAGAAATGGTATATATAGTCTGTACTGGACAATAACTTTTTAAGTAATTTTTATCATTTTGATTAAATGACTTTTTTTTTTTTTAAGTTCGGTAACATAGCATTTTAATTAACTTTAGCATTTTATGAAAAACTATCTAAACAACTACAACTATACGCTATTAAAATAATTAATAATTATCAAAACAATTAATTTCGCTGAATAGACTCGTATAATGAACAAGAATATGAATATTGCCTCGTGGCATTTCCATTGCGATTGAAATTTGATATTTTAACGGGATGGATAAGGATTATTTATCATCTCAAAATGAAATACAGGTGTGATTAGTAGAAGCCACGTGTGAATTAGTTTTGCCTACTTAACAAATAATAATTAACCACGTTTATGTTTCCACAATCCATGTCTAACTTGTCTTTTTATCTCCCATTAACGTTGTCAAGCGTCAACCCTACCTTTCCTTCCAATCTCATACTAGACGCCCAAAACTTGACTACAAAAACCCTTTATAGCTTGCCATTTGTTAACCAACATCCTTCTTCTACTACTTATTATTAGTATTATAATTTATTTTCTATCTTATTGCCACGTGGATGCCACTGGTTCTGATGTTAACCCTTCAATAATTGGACTCCTAATCCTAATTATATTCTACTCAACTACAAAATCATGCACGTTAAAGCTGATTTTTGAAGTTGACATGCACCCAATACTTGCCTTCCACTTCATACTTGAATATCTCTGCTACTGTTATATTAATTTATTAATAATTTCGGATATGTTCGGTTGAATAATTATAGTTAGAAATAGTTAAATATGAAGGATGCTTATATTTGAAGACTAATTTGTGTATATAAAGGCCGGATAAGGTTTAGAGATCTTTCATGTTGAGCGTGATTAAGTCTTGAGCTTGGGTTATTTGCTAAACGAATCGGTTAGAGTTTAACATTGAGCTCGATTTGAGCTGAATTTTTTGAATTTTTTTTCGTGCTGAGCTTGTACAGGTCATGAACTAGCACTGTTTATATCACTGAGCCATATTTTTCACTAAAAAAAAATAAACAAAGAAAAAAAATGTGACAAATTTTTAAATAAAAATCAAGTATGATTAGATATATGTACCCAAGTATTTTCCATAGAATAAATAGTGGCTGATTCTTCGAAATTTCCAAGGTGAAGCCAGAATCTATAATTGGGGTCAAATAAAAATTTTCAAAAGTTTAGGGAAGCCAAAAAAAAAAAAAAAAGAGATTTTTTCTCTATTTAATAAGATAAATTTTATTGGAGAATGAGCTTGGGGCTCCCCTCTCTTCACTCTTGAGGATCTCATATCTTCTTGAATATGCGCGCGCGTGTGTAAGAGAGATATAATATTAACATAATTTGTCCAAGTTTTCATGGTTTTGATATGTGTTTTCTTGAAAAATAAAAAATTAGAAAACTTTAATTCTATTTAAAAAATTGTAAATAATTAACCTATTTTTCAATATTTAATTTAAAGTATGTTACTTGTATAAGTATAACACTGCTAACACAAAAAAAAAAACACCTTATGTGTCTAAATAAGGGAAGAAAATCCTCGTCACCCTAAGTCTTTTTTAGCTAGATGACGTGGCATTCAATTATGGAGTACAATTGTACAAATCTTGATGCTAACTAAACGGCAACGGTTTTCACGCTAGACTCCGAAACAGAGTTTTATTCACCACATGTCCTACCAGTCAAGAATTGATGGCCCCATCTACCCCTCAGACATGCTCCACGTGTCGTCCATCTAAGGTACCTGTTCACCACGTACCAGGCCTGACTTACACTCAAAAACCGACCAAAAACGCATCGTATTCGCCGTCCTCACATATATAAATACACCACGAAACCCAAATTTCAAAAACCGCGTCTACACTCTTCCATTATTGTTCTCGCTTTTACACCACGAGAATCACCTGATCCACAAAGCTCCTTTTCCTCCCTCGCTGTTTCTTCAAGATTGTATAAAAATGACTGCGAATTCGATCCAAGAAACTCAAGATCGAGTCTCTGATTTTGAAATTCAACAGAAATCAAAAGATTTCCTGTTGCCGAATATTGCGATGGAATCCGATGATCTCGCCGGAAAGATGGGAGTGAAGGTGTTTACAGAGTCGGAGATGGACAGAGAAAGTGGAGGGTCGTCGGAGGATGTGGAGGATTCGCCAAAATCGGTTGGAAAATGGAGGAACATGGAGAAGTTAGGGTTTGTGCATAGCCAAGTTTTGAAGATTAGAGAGGAAGATTCACATCTCGGTGAAGATTTTGTTGAAGGATTGAGCGCTAAAGATAAGGTTATCAATGGAGGTTTTGGCCAGAATATTCAGTTTCGACGCGTAGCTTCAGCGGTTGATGTCGTGTTCTTTACGAGACCGGTCTTACCTTGCTCTCCTCTCGGTGGAAAAACCGCCGTCGAGGCCTCGCCGTAATAAACTACTCCAGTCCATCAAAGGTTCATTGTTCTTTTTCTTTCAATGATCTGTTTGGATATTTAGAAAACTGGTAGAAAAAACTCAAAAAACGGAGAAAAAGAGATTTTTTTTTCTAAATCAAACCTTACACGTTTCTTTTTCTTAAAAACAAATTCAGATTAATATCTGATGAAGGAATTCTCCATTAGAATTTTCCTAGAAAACTATTGAATTTCCATGATCTGATATGATTCCTTTCCTTTACATTTCCTTCCCCTTTTCTCGCCAATTTTCCCGCGAAAATGTTTACAACCTAACGTCTCAGTTAAAATGATGTCGTTTTATCTCTTGCGGTTAATTAAACATATAAAATTAATAAATAATAATTTATAATTGTTTGAGACCAGAAATGATTTCTTGACTGGTTATTAGAAAAGGATGATGGGACCACTGACTGAAGGGTGTTTGTTGTAGCAGGAGCAACAGCAGTAGATGATGAATTGATGGTGACGAAAGCGAACGAGAAAGAAAAAAATGAATCCAAGTGTTGGGTTACTGTTTTTATGTTGTCCTGGTTAAGGTTGTGCTCGTTTTATAGAAGGATAGGTTTAGGAAAAGGGTGAATAGCGGCGAGAGCTGAGTTTTAAGGGGGAGAATTTTGCTCATAACCATCTTCTGTACAGTGAATGAATTAATATAATACATCAGCTCGTGTGAAGAATTCTCGAATCTTCTCTTTCTATACAAAATTAATTCTTTTAATTCATTTTTTATATAACATTAATTTTTTACTAATATTAATAATTATTTTTATATTATTTAAATAATATATTAAAGATATTAAAAATATATAATTAATTGTTAAACTTTTGCAAACTAACAAGTTCCTTTGAAAGATAAAACCAAGTATACTCACCCACTTATAGTCGTATTGTTGAAAATTTTCAAAATGTATAATACGATGGAGAAGTATCTGGTACGTTATGGTATGTTGTTCATACTTAAAAACAATTTAATTATTGACATATGTAAGGCCAAAAGTATAACGTTTTACCAGAAAATCTAATACGAGATTTAACTTTACACGTACAAAACACAAAATTTCAAAAAATTATTATTGATAATATTAAAAAATTCATAATGTTATCCAAATTTGTAAATATATGGCAGTATAGATTATTTTTAAAAGTTTAAAATGTTACAAGATTAAAACTATAAAGTTAACGGCCATATATTTATCTATATGGTCATATATGCCACTAATGTATAAATTAATACAATTAAAAAGGAAAAATTACGATTTTTCCCTTGTATTTTGCTATTATATACAACATTGCCAACACATCTTTAAAAATACAGTTTTGTTATATCTTTTACCTCTGTTAACATGTTATATGTACTTTTCTCAATTTATATATATACATGTTATAGTACTTTTTCAATTTTATATATTATATATATATATATATATATATATATATATATAATATATACTTGTCAGTAAATTACTATTTGTTCCTGTATTGTACCAAAATTAATTAATCTTTCCTATTAAACAAAAAATATCAAAATTTGATAAAATGATATAACAGTGTAATCGAAGAAGTAAGCAATATGGCAAATTATATAATTATTAAAATACAAAGGTAAAGTCATATATTTATATAAAATATAAGAAAAAATAACAATTTTCTATTAATAAATTATGTTAATTTGATTTTAATTATTATTTCTTATATCATAAACTATTTATAACACCTATGTTACACGAAAACTTCCTTTGGTTGCCATTTCCGTGTTTCAGAAAAACATTTCCCGTGTGGAAACGCTTGGAAACGTTTTGGATCCATTTCTGTAAATTGAGCAATTTGGAAAATACGTTTTCCCCTCATTTCTCTAATTAAAATAAATGCATAAATAAATACAAATTCATAAAACATGTATTTTTACGAGTATGAAACTTGTAATTTTTTTGGATATGTTTAAATATTGATTAGACTTTAACTTGTTGTTAAATATATTTAATTGTTTATAATAATTTATATATTTATATTTATAAATATAACCGTATATTTTTCATATTTACACATTTCTCCACGTTTTCATTTCTTATATTTTTAAAAAATACCGCTTCCCATACCCGTTTTCGCATTTTCACGCTTCCACGTTTCCGTTTCCGTGCAACATATTATAACACAAAAAAAAAAAAAAAAAAAAAAATATACACATAAAAAAAAAAAAAAAAAAACCATAAAGTAGATTAAAACTCACTAACATGCCTGCCCAATTAATAGCGTATCAAATACAATCAAATTATGCATGCTAGGACACTTTAATATAAATTAAAAAAAAAAAAAAAAAAAACCATAAGTAGATTAAACTCACAACATGCTGCCAATAATAGCGTATCAAATACAATCAATTATGCATGCTAGGACACTTTAATATAATTAATGCCAAGTATCACGTTATTAGTAGAGGCATGTCATGTCAATATCCATATATTGATATTACAATATACATATATGTCATGCAATCCTTAAAACAGTTTCAAAGCGCATATATGTATTTTAGCGATGCTAGATGGCTCAAGTTGTCCTGGTACAATAAAAATATCTATATATAGAATATTCATATTGCTGCTAAGAAAATAACGGGTGAAAAATTTGCGTGCCTTTTCCACATGTCACGTGTGTAGCATATAGCCTACGCTCTTTTTGTGCGCAATATGTGAAAAATCTGCGTTCACTTTATCCAGTAAAAGAAATCTTTTTTTTTTTCTCCCATCATTTCTTTCTCAAATTCAAGAAGGTGCATTGTTGTGATTCAATAAGTCAAGATTCTTATTGATTCTTATTATGTCGGGTTCAACATGAGCCAAATATCTTTATTGTATATATTTGGCTTAGTGATAATTGATCAATGAAGAATGAAGGATCAATAATGCTCAATATATGAATTTAACATAGTACTTTTTACCAAAAATTTTCTAGGACCCTCAATTTTTATTTTAATTTGTAATTTATAAAATTGAATTTATCAAATATTTTGTTTTTACCTATTAAACACCCCAACTTATTTAGTTAGATCAATTAAACACTGATTAAATAGCTAAAAAATGTAAAAATTATTATCTCAAACATTATATTAACTACACATCAAATCAATATTTTACATTTAAAAATTAAAAATTTTCAATTTTATCTTATATGATGTAATTTCTAATTTTTGTAATATTGCTTCTTTTACAATGTGATACTTGAAGCTCTATCATTTTCTATTTTCTTAACGGGTTACATGGTAAAAAGTCCAGCAATTTGTCGCCAAGTCAGCTGTCACATCATAAAAATTAGATCTCACAAGTGCATAATTATTTTTTTTCGGTTTGCCACGTCAACTGGAGATAGCCAATTATAATATTTTACAAGTTTAGATACTCAATTATTACCGTTTTCTGTTAAGACACTAAAATAGAAAAAACGTGAAAGGTCGGACACTAATGGTAAAATTATCCCTTTTCTATTCAAATTCTATATATGCGTGTGTTTGTGCGTGTGTTTGTGTGAGTGTGTTAGAGACAGATAGAAAAAAGAGAGTTATTGAAATATATTATTATATCTAAAGACGTTTATAGTTGTAGATTATTATATTAAGTTGGATACATATAATAAGAGATTAAATGTATATACACTTATGAATTGTCATTGTTAAAAAATAAAATATAATAAGAAATTTCAATTATTAATTTGTGACTGAGATAAGTAATTTCAATTAACACATTACTTTTGTTAGTACTAATAAAGATTTTTCTTTAAATAATAAAATACAATGTTTGTCATAAAATAATATAGGCAAGAAATTTAAAAAAAAAAACATATTTGTAAATTGGCTCTTTATGTATTCAATCTCTATATTCTCGATTATTTTCAATTTTAGCTCAATTCAATATGATTCTTTTATTCAAATAAAGTTCTTTAAGAATCGTGAACAATTTTGAATTCATCCATTTCCCCATTTTTAATATACGTTTAGCAATTATTGGTTATTTAATAATAACACAATATAATTGAATATATATTTAACATAAATATTAAACTAAAAAAACATTTAAATTATATTATATATCATGTTTATAATAATTTATGAAAAGTAGCTTTAGTTTCTTAACACTAAATAAATCCTTTCAAAAAAAAAAAATCAGTAAATAATTCCTAAGTGAATAAAATTCTCAAATTTTCATTTTATCTTAAGTTTATGAGAGAAACAAATTTACACCGATTAGTAAGTAGTATAATTTCTAAAATTTTAATCAATACCTTTTAGAAAGCACTTCGGATGACATTATTGAGCGCCAAATCTCCAACTAGTTTCATCCGTGGTGTAGGCTTTTTACGGCCTAACCTTCGATTTCATCCCGAATTTTTTGAGTAGTTGTAATTTCATTTTAAATCGACTTTTGTACTTTACACATTCTAAACTTACCAATCTAGTCACAATTATATCCTAATTTGAATTAACATCAAACTCATTATTTTTGCATTTTAAAATTAGTTCAACTTTACAATTAAATACTCAATTTTGATTTTTTTTATTTATTATATGAATACTTGGGTATGATTTTATTATTTATTGTTTAAATACTTGTGTATGGAGTCCATTTTTTATATTATTTTAATTAATCTTAGTTTACTTTTAAGGTGTAATTGCAACAAATCGACAATTTTAGGGTATTGTAATTCACTTTTAAGGTGCAATTGCACCCTCAAAGCAAATTAAGGTATAAGTGCAACTAGGTTGATAAGTTCATGGTGCCCGGAATAAAAAGATTGATTTAAAGTGAAATTACAACAACTCGAAAAGTTCGTGTGAAAATTAAAAGTTAAGTTGGTTCTTCACATTGTAGTGAAAGATTTCATCTACCATATTGATTAATATAATAAAATTAGATTGATTTTTAATCATCTGGTATCTAAAGCCTACTGCCCAATTAATCAGAATTCATGCCAGGTAAGTGCACAAAGTGGGGACTAATCCAAATTCAAGCTGGGCAGACCCACAAAATGCGGCAAAGCCAAAACCTTTGATTAAAAAAAGAAAGAATCAAACTCCCTAATATCCTATCTCCCTCCTGAGCGTTGAATTGATATATTGACTTTGATTTCTCTATTTTTCTCCACACAAACGAATATTATGCTAAAAATTATATTAATTTATTAATTTTCTATCATCATTAAATAATATGAGTATAATGGCTATAAATAATTCAATTCGAAGTATATTCAAGGATAATTCAAATTAAGTTATCATGGGAATATGATGTAGATTTAACTTTCTTTTTTAATTACTTGAGCTAACTTTGTGAACTCTATTGTTTTTTTTTTATGCATTAAAATATTTATATCTATTATCAATGAATATTGAGATCAATGATTTCACATTCTCTTATTTTAAGTCATATCAATGATTTAATCTTGATAAAGGAAGTAAATACTTATTAAAGCACTTTATTCTTTAGTCGATCGACCTGCGTGAAAAGGATTTAGTCCTAATTCAAGTCCAGTAAACTGAAAATACCTGTGGCTAATACCAAAAAGAATTTGTGTTTATTCTAAATTTAAAATTTTAAATAATTAAAAAGAAATTACAGAAAGTAAAATGAATATTTTATTAAATTTATATAATTATGCAAAGTTACAAGTGCAACTAACTACATAAAAGAAATGGTCCACATTTCCTTGTCAAGCTTAAATGTTGAAGGTCCACATTTCTTTATCATTCTTAAATGAAGAAAATGAATTTAAGGCTCCTTCCTAGAGCTCCCTCTACTTCGGCTTCAACCAATTAAGATTAATTAAAATTGAGTCGATTTTTTATACATAATTTTTAATTTCCGATTTAAATGAATAATCTGAAATTTTATTTTAGTGTATTCTCGTTTTTTGAAAATTTAATTAACCTAAAACAATATATGCGAAAACTAAATAAATCGATTGAATTGACCTAATTCAAAATTCAACTAACTCTTTTACACGTCATAATTATTCATCACAGTACTTGCGAAAATCCGTAGTTTCTTTTTATTTTTCTTTTCTAAGAGGCATTAATTACATTAAACAATAGAGAATTTAAAATAAGATTGAGTGTAATATAATTTTAAAATATTTACTTTGATATTTTTTACTAAATCAAATATTATTAAATTTTTTTACTAAAATTTATTCAAAAAAAATGATTGAATCACGAGAATAAATTCTAATTTCTATGTGAATGGATTTAGAAAAAGAAAACTTATAATAGAAATAAAATTATTTCAGAATTTACATTCTCAATAGATATAATTTTTTATTTAAAATTAACCTAATTTTATTGTTAAATATCATATATTTTCTTTTCATTTATATTAACCTATCGAAACTAATATTAACTGGTCTGATTTTTATTAGATTGGTTTCTTTTCTAAAATTTGAAATTGATAAAAAGTCGATTCATATAGTTGGTTTATAAGCCAGCATTTCCGTAAATTTAGAGCAAACTGTTCTATTAAAATGCAAATTTAAGTTACGTTTATTTCCAAAAAATAATTTGTTTGTTTTTTAAAAAATCAGTTAACAGAAAACATTTTTCCGACTAAAGAAAAATTCTGTAATTTTAAAAGAACATGAATTTGTTTTAAAAGAAAAAAGAAAAATATTTTTTACAAACTTATTGTAACACTCTACATATTTATTTATATTAGTCCATTGATTTATTATCAATTAAAAGAAAATATAAAACAGAATATGCATTACATATAAGAAAACTTACATTAAACTATAACAACACAACATCCATTACTTCAAATTTCTTGGTATTGTATCAGAAGAAGCCATTAGCCCTGTTATTCTGCTACTCAGTTCTTGAACTTCACCATTTAGCCTTCTGATGTAATTGCATGCTTCTTCCAAAACTTCCATTAATGATACCTAAAAATAAATAATTATAGCCAATAAAAATCAAATTTAAGCAAATTAACTAATTTCTTACATAAGTTTTGACACAAACCTTAGATTGAGTGGTAGTGATTTGGCGTTCCTCTGCAGATAATAATGATTGAAGCTGCAAAATAAGAGCCTGAGCTTCAGTTTCATGTTTAGGGTTTGATCTCATTGCAGACATTGATGAGAGGCAGAGGTTTCTTGAGTGTTTGGAGCTTTTAAAGGCAAAAGGAATTTATGTAGAGAAGGAATGTACTTTGGTGAGGAAACAAATCAACACAAATTTTTAGTTGGTTAGGACTTAGTGGGGGCCCAATTTTATAGTTGGAGACAAATGGGTCCCCTTTTTTAATTATTTGAGCCTCTTTGGTTATTTTAGCTTTGAACTTTCTTTTCTTATCTTCTTGTTAGATATTGTTATTGGCAAATTAAAAACATGTATGGTGTTATGCAACCAAAGGGTAGTTGGGTTGGAACGTGTTTTGGTTTGTTTGGTAAATTAGGGATTGTTTGATTCAATAATTGTAATTACTTGTGATTAAAGGGTCAAATTTTAAGTTTTACTTTTAAACAGAGAATGTTTTTTTTTTTTTTATTTAAGGGAAAAACTCATAAGATTAATGAGAGGAACGATAAAATACAAACAAGCACGGTGGAATACTATCCCATAGACGAAATCTAGTGTAGCTATAGGAAGTTCCTTGGCTTGTTGTCTAATCCATCAAACAACAACAATGATAGATTTAATAACCAATAACATTGTTATATCTTAGTTAGAACTTTCTGTTCTTATGTTCGTTTCTAATCATGGGAATCTGAATAGAATATTACAACCACCACGTTGCAGGTATGTAATATTTGTATATAAATTAAAATTTTATGAGAATATAATAATTATAATTTGAACTCGACATAGTTCCATTAATTATTCAAATGAACTAAATTTTTATGACCTACTAGCTAATACAAAAACAAATAAGTCAAATTGGCATAAAAAACTAGTATTCATCATCTTCCTCCTAACTTCCCTATTGTCCTTTTGAAGCCAGATTCTTCCTGTCTTCCTTATGCCCAATCATTTGAATTAATAGATACTGTCACCAATTCCTAATTATACATTTCGAATTTCATAATTGAAATTCTAATATATTTCTTTTTTTCTAAAAAAAAAAAAAAAAAAGAAAAACAATAACCCAATCGGCTTTGACTTGGGAGAAGTCCTAATGGGCTTTTGATTCACTAATATGAGAGAATAATTAGTAGTTGGAATTTGAAATGGGCTTTCCAACAACTTTCATGGGCTTCTCAAACTAAATTAAATTATCTTGCCAGCATTTCTTTTCCAGTACTTCATGGACTTCAAAAGACAACAAACGATCAGTAGCCCAAAAAGATTACTATTTGAGCAAATATAATATATTTCAACAGCTTTAATATTTTTTCCTTTAAATTAAAAATTTGAAATTATAATCAAATATTATATATTTTTTTAAATTAAAATATCTTAAATTTCACTAAAAATATTTTAAGAAATGATATAATTCCACATAGATATTTTCATTAGAATCTAAAGTGGAAGTAGAATCAATGGCAAAGAAGCAGATCATTGTTACTTCAAACTTGGATCCTAAGAAGTGACAACTAAAACTAATTAAGCAAAATACAAAGATGATTAGGATATGGCATGCCATCAAAAGGAGGCCATGATATGGACTAATTATGAACTAATAGACTATGATTCAACATTTTTTGTGACATACCCATCAACCATAATGATTAATTGCTTACAATAAAGAAATTATCTTTTGCTTTGAGAAATTTAAGAGTTATTTATGGCACATGCATTGCATTTTTATGTATACCCTATATTTTAAGGTAACTTTATGCCCTTTGGCATCCCAATATGAACAACATAGAATTGGAATCCTTAGGCTGGCTAAGAGATTGTAGCTATGGCATGCCAATAATCAATTAGTGCAAATGATACAATTATCATGTATTCATATGCATCTTCTTCTTTACCAAATATTTATTTATTAAACTTTCCCAGTTGGCATGACTCATGTGGCCTTTCTTTTCTTCTGAAAATATTTTTTTCTGGTATAAAAATATACTATTACAAAGCTGTAAAACAATCACAATTTCATAGTACGTCTTTAAACACATTAAGAGGCAGCGCAGCCCATTAAGAACAATAATTACATGTTAATTGGTGATAGGAGTAGGGATTGAACTAGGCAGGACATATATGGGCCTTCTTTTCTTCTGAAAATATTTTTTTTCTGGTAATAAAAAATATACTATTGACAAAAAGCTGTAAAAACAATCACAATTTTCAATAGTTCGTCCTTTAAACACATTAAGAGGGCAGCGCAGCCCGATTAAGAACAATAATTACATGTTAATTGGTGAAGGAGTAGGGATGAACTAGGCAAGGACAATATATATTATAATATATATATATATATATATATATATATAAAATGGAAGTTGAAGTTTTCCTTTCTGTTTCTTTTTTGGTAAACTTTTTGCCTTTGATTAAGGGTCTATATATATATAAAATGGAAGTTGAAGTTTTCTTTCTGTTTCTTTTTTGGTAAACTTTTGACTTTGATTAAGGGTCCAACTGATGTTACGTTAGCATGTAGCTATTAGCTTTCAGTCGGTAGCTGTTTATATGACAGTTTAAATTAAAAATGTTCGATAAAAATAATTTTTTTTATTAACTATTTAATTTAAAATGACAAGAAATGACATTAGTTGTTAATTAATTAAATTTAAGGGGAAACAACAATAGGTATAATCGTAAAAAAAAATTCAATTAACCTCTGTGAAACTTCATACTAAACATTAGGGTGTTTAACGTTTCATACAAAACTCTCTCAAACTATATTGCCGAACAATACAATTAATATGATTAGAGTTTTGACTTGATAAAAATGCTAAAAGCTAGCGCCAACACTCTTGACAAACACTTTTACCAAACACGGCCTAAAATTTACATTTATTTTCCCTCAGGTTTGGAAATGACCCAAATTGAGTCAAAATATATTGATTTAATTGAAGTAATTTTAAGAGCTTATTATTTATAAATTCAAAAGATTATACTTTTATGTGGGAAAGATTGCTTGCACCAAGTGTATATTTTTAACAGAAAAAGTTTGAAATTATAATTTTAAAAAATGCTCTCTTTATCAATTTTTGGTCTTTTTTTCCAATAAAAAAATTTATATAATTACACATGCCAATTTTTTATTATTAACTTTATTGAATGTATACATATGACGTATGCAAGTCTTTTCCCCAAATTTTAATGAGACACAAGTAGGTCCTACTAACAATGGTGATTTTCCTTGATGTAATTAATTGGGCCCAAATGACAGGCCTGTCCAATAGCATGGTGGATTAGGCTTAAAGGCAAATAGGCAAGAGGAGAGGACTATCCAACTCATCAGGAGTCCTACGTGTTAGCTTTCCTACCCTTAAATTGAAAGCATAGATCCACAAGGTGGTCAAGTCAAGGCGGTCAAGTCAAGGCTTGCTATCCTTTCACCTTTTTCTATTCAAGAGTTTGAGCTTCAACTAAATTGACATGACATTTCCAATAATTTTTATTAAAATCTAATTTGATTGATTGATTTCTATTGATTGTTTATAGTATCTACTTGCACTTAATTATATTTGAAATTATAAAATTTAAGCACTAATATTTGAAGTTTTCAATTGTTGATTTTTTAATTATTAATAATTGATAGATGATCGGTAATATTAATTAATAAAGTCATTTATTTTATTACTTTAAATTTATATTTTACACCGGTATTCGAAAGCTCATTAGACTCCAACTACATCTGATTAGAATATTATAGAATTTATCTAAAAGGCACTCTTCCAACATAGCAATTTCAATATTTAAAACTCAAACTCAAGATCTTTGGTTCATCCCTCACAAAATTGGTTGTATATGTTTATATTTAATCTCATTTGATTAGGAATAAATTGAACTATAAAGTTGCCATAAGAAGCATGATTCATGCATAGACTCGACTTTTTTTTTTTTTTCTTTATTAAGTGAAAAATAAAGAAGTAAAAAACAAATAATAAATGAGTAGTTTCTTTATTTGCTGGTGACCTGCAATTTACAAGCTCATAATCACTCATGAAACTAACAATAATAAGATTTCCACATGTCAAAAAGATCCCTGATTTCATGCTTGCTTCTATCATTATTAAAGTAATTAATAAAAAAAAGTTCTTTCATAATCAATATTAAGACCACTTGAGGGCCCCCAACTCCAATGCTAGTGGTTATGAGGTTTTCTGCTTTTTTTGATGTTGTTATTGCATTTCAATTATTTAAAACTTAACAAAATTTAAATTTCTTAACATTTTCATATCATGATTTTTCAAAAATAATTTAAAAAACTTTAGAAAAATGATTAGGAATCCCATGATATTAAGGGGACAATGGAAAGTTTGAATGTCAAATCATGATTAGCCATTACCCATTTCGACATACAAGATCATTTGCCCTTTAGTAATGTACTTTCATTAGTGTGACCGTAATGAAATTTATCCTTTCTTTATAAAAGAAATTTCGAAATATCCTTATATATATATATATTTTTTTTTGGTGAAAACATTTGAAGCTGAACGTTTTAAAAAAAAAAATTATGACCCTGGCTTGAAACAATGTCATTTAAGCTAGAGGTTGGTTGAGCTTTTATTCTACATGAATATATGATTTGGCACTGACTTTTGATATTGCATGATCCACTCGTGAGAGATGAGAGGCAATAAATATAAGATTGACGAAAGACATACGGAAAATAAAATTGATATGAAAAATTAAGTACGCGATATTAATCGATAAAATTAAAAGGACTGGCAAGAATTAATGAAATCTTCAATGTTCAATTTTTTTTTTCCATTAGGACTCCAATATTATCATGTTAATCTATAAAATAAAAAATTCAATGATAATTTGAATTTATAGAAGAAAAACCTAAAATTTTGATTGAGTGAATTTAAATGTTTTTGCATTTGAAATCTAAGGACCTTACTGAATTCAGAATTAGAGAAATCAATATAATTGAAAATAAAATAAATCTTTAACAACTAAATATGGATAAAACATTTTGAAGGTCATTATAAAATTAGAATTAAAATGCTAACAATAATAAAATATAATTAAGATACATGAACAAAATAAAGCCTAGCTAGGATAATAATTTGCAT